TAAGGAGCGATTTCAGTACACGGCCATTTTCATTACTGATAATAATGACGAACAAGATGGCAGAAGGTTATCAGCAAAATTCAAGATGGCAAAGAAACGGCGGAAAGCTATTTGTTCAAAACGAAGTCGAACCTTATCTTAGCAACGACATCTTAGATTTAGGCTGTGGTACTGGCGAGCTCTCTGCTTATCTTGCCAAACTAGCAGGGCCAAAGGGTAGAGTTTTAGCAGTCGACCCTGACAAAGAGCGCATTCGAGTGGCTAAAGAATCGTACAAAGAAGTAGAAAACCTCACGTTTGCTGTAGGAAGCACCTCCAGCTTTCCCGGCCTGGGTTTGGAGACTTACAATGTTATCTTCTCAAATTTTGTTCTTCACTGGATAAAGAACATTGAGGATAAGAAAAAGGCCTTCGAAAACATGTTTAGAAGCTTGAAGCCGACGGGAAAAATCTTTGTGCGATATGGTGATCGAATGCCCACTCACTTTGACCGCGTCTTTCGCGAGCTCAACCCAGAAAATTTGGACCGTCTGATGAGCATTAACCAGTTTGAACCAAGGCCCGTAATTGAACAGATATGTCTGGCGGCTGGATTTCGCGTTCTGAATAGTTTTGACGAGAAGTTTGAAGATCGAGTGTTTGAAAACGGCGAGAGTCTTTGTCTGTTTTTCTGGGCGACTACAAACGGCGTATTTGATCCACAGTTTGTTACTGAAGACCGAATGGAAAGATTTTGCGCTCGGTATTCAAGTGGAGGAAATGGCAGGATCAAATTACGTTCTGAAGAGAACGATTTATGCAGTGTTTTAGTGGCTGAGAAACCAGCAGATTTAAACTGGTAATAGGCCATTTAAAATTGTTATAGGTCTTAAACAAAATCAGACGACCACGTCGCGGGAGTCCGATTTGTGTTTATTCACGAGAATGATCACAGACCGACTGGACGATAAGAAGTTCTGTTACCGGTTAATCATTACAAAAAAACAGATTCAACTTAATCTTTTTAAAATTAAAATACAAGATCTTTCTATCTTCCTTTTTTCTGGCTTTTTTGCCAGTTGCAGAAAAAAGGAACCCATTTGAGAGCATGCTCGCTAAGGTGGATACTATCCTAACGACAAACGTGAATTTGTACCACGTGACCAAGTTTTTCCCTTAATTGTCGTTAACTGTTTATTACTTCAACTAAAAGATAAGTAGTTTCACGCCAGTTTTATACATAAGGATTGTTCTGGACAGTTTCATCTGCTTATTTTCTATTCTGAGAAATTCTCAACTTGAATCTGACGTTTCCCGTTTGGCGTAAACGTGAATCTTAAACTCTCTACTGTCTAGCCTGTTCCAGGCGTTTGGATAGTGGAGTGCAGCGCGAAGGAAGAGAGCAAGAAAAAAATAAGGAGGAAAAGAGGGAGAGGGAGAGAGGAGGGAACGCCTGTGACATTTGCTTTCAAAAGGTCATTCCGCCCACTTTTTCGGCTAGTAATCCGAACGTAGTTTCCGGTGTTAAAAGTTTTATTTTCAATCAAGCAACGGGTGACAAACCGCACTGTTTACTGAATTAAAAAAGATATGCCTATATTCATCTTTTATATTTGTTCTCTGCAAACGAATATATCCCTTACCTCCAAAAATGAAAGAACTGGCAAGCATTACTCGATCCACTTTCTCTGCCGTTGATTTTAATTCAACAAATTATATACTAGCGGCTGTCAGTTTTTGCTGTTATTATTGAAATGCCGTTTGAATTTGTTTGTCAGTAAAAGCTTCAACGTGTAGCTTTGGAAGACGTGATAAGCGAATAGAGATCTCAAAAGTCAAAACAGTACGTCCCGAGACTAGCATATTTGTTCCTTTTCACAAAATTGGCTTTCACAATATTCAGGTGAATGTTTTGACAGCCAGCTGTCAGGAATTTCTAAATTTAGGGCTAAAGAAGTTGCATTTTCTTCTCTTCTATATACATTCACAGCCAATTCGTCCACGCTTCCCTACTGTTGTAGCGACTCCAACTCTGTTGAACTGTTGTACTTGAGTAGCCGCTAAGGCGAAACGTCTCTAGCGGCGAGGAACAAGGCTAAAGTGAAACGGCTGTATTCCACATTTCCAGTCAACGTATTGAACCTATTAGTGCTGACAAGAGCTGTCAAAATAGGCCAATCATAAGGTATACCAGAATCTGGTATAGCGGAATGAGCTTTTGTTAAAGAGTCTTACAGGGGTTCCCTCGCTCTCACCCCTACCCCACCCCCTTTTTTTTGTTTGTTTGTTTCTCTGCTCTGCGCCGTTCCCTCAATCTGAACGCCTGGAACAGACTAGATACTGTCCCGTTTTATACTTTGGCATGACGCGTACAGTCCTTTAATGCTGAAATAGTCAATAAGATTAGAATTTTGACTTTGAGACCGCCCAAATAATACTCCAACATAAAGTCATACTCCGACATATGAATACTATCGAAACTAAAATTAATATTCAAAAAAAGCTACTGAGCGGTACGTTCCTGTTGTATGGCCGTGGTTCAAAACAGTTGAGCCTGTAGATGCCGCCTTGTAGTGCGATAGAAAGCCCTAGAGTGCGTAAGTTCCGTTATTTGACTGTAAGTGTGTCCTGGCTTGCCATCCATCCGCCATCTACGATGCGATTAGTCCCATTCCATTCTCTCGGTTTATTTACTGAGTATATCGAGTGTGGGAGAGAGGAACCTAGGAACGAATGACCATAGTTGTGTCGTTTCATGGTGATAAAATTTACTTAAAATAGTTAGCTCACACCAGGTGCAATATGTCCCGTGTTCTCGTAACAGGAGCCTCTGGTTTCCTTGCCATGCATGTTGTCAAACAACTACTCGATTCAGGTGAATACATCGTACGAGGAACAGTGCGAAGTCTTGCAAACGAGAAAAAAGTCAAACCCTTGAACGATCTGTCTCCAGAAGACGCAAAATATCCACTCGAATTGGTCGAAGCAGATCTTACAAAGAAAGAAACTTGGGTCGAGTGAGTAATGTAGTCGCTAACTTATACAACTAAGCAGTTCTTTATAATTTCCTGTCGTTTGTTTTATGCCCTTTCCGTGCAGTTGATACCCGTTTTTTTATGTAGATTATTGTAATATTCAATATCCCACATGAAATCAATCTTGATTTAATTTGCTGAGTCACACCACGCTATATTTTGTCGATGAAAATAACGGGTAAAATTAGTAAATTTTACTAGTCAAGTCTTCACAGGAAGTATTTCATAAAGTGTGAAAAATGTGAAATAACAACGAAATGCAAGAGTTTTGTAAAAATTCTACATACATAACCCCTGCTTTGGTTGTTTACAAATTTTTATATGCCGTTCTTCCATTCGTGCAGAAAATTTATGCTAAATTTTGTAATTACAATGAAATATGATATATTAGTGTACACAAAAGCCCGGCACAAAAGTTAAAAAACAACATTTTCTTTGTTTTCGCTCTGAAATCAAAACTATATAAGGCAATATGTGGTCATATATGTATAAAGAAATAGAAAAATTTTTTCTTGGTTCGAGGCAGTTATGCAAACCCCAAGAGAAAGTCGGGGGCAGTTATGCAAACCCTAGAGAAGGTCGGGAGTTTGCATAACTTTCAAAAATTATCCCAGTGAATTAGTTCTATCAGGAGATAATGAGGGATTCTCGGTTCCATACAACAAAGGTATCTCACGAGACATGGCGGTAACCAGTAGGGAGACCGGGAGTTCATGCATGAGGTTTGTTACAAGAACAGGAAAGCCCCTGAGCACATACTCTTACTAAACTAGCCTGCGTGTCAGGCATTCAACAGGGAAGGGGAAAGGAATTTAGGCTCACGAGCGCTGGCGGAGACAAGACAGGGGAAGAACGTGTTCCCCCCCTCCCCTCGCGCACCCTTTATGTTTTTCGCCCGCCTGAAGTCCCCTTCCTCTTCCTTTCTCAAACGCCTGCCTCCCAGGCTATTTCTAAACTAGTTCCAGAGAGAAATGGTTTCCCTGCTTCCCATTGGCTTGTCTCTTTGACCCACGAAGCCGTTGTCACGAAGTTTGGGGTGGAGACGGCAAGAGAACGGCTCGTTCTTCTCGGTGACGTCATCTTGCGAAAGTGTATTCCAGTTCAACTGGAACTCCAAGGGACTAGGATACTGACTACGGTAATAACATTAATTACATTACTTCTAGAGCAAAATGACTCACTTGAAAGGTCCCGACACTTTTGATCTTCACTGTAGTCTTATAGCGCCTTCCAGCTATTTTATACTGTGTAACTGATCGTCTGTTCGTCACTGACAGGGCTGTTAAAGACTGTACATATGTCATTCACGTGGCGTCGCCCTTCCCAGCGCAGAATCCAAAAGATGAGATGGAAGTGATAGGACCCGCGGTGGACGGAACAAAAAGCGTGCTTGAAGCTTGTGCCAAAACCAAGGGTGGAGTGAAAAGAGTTGTGCTTACAAGCTCCTGTGCTTCGATTTATTGTAAGAGTTGATCTTCATTTAGTCACCCATAAATAATCCGTTTCCACTTTCCGGTGAACAGTGACACCAACTCAAGGCGCGGATACAGTGATTTGTACACAGGCGACCCAAGGGCCCGGCCTCGAGCTCCCTATGAGAGCTCTGAGCAACTATACCCCACTTTAGACCTACCTAATTAATTTTTCATACGGCAACAATTATAAGACGTTATATGAGAGTTATTCTTTGTCCTTAGTAAATGAGCAAAATAGATTTCCTTTTTAAGTTTGCCTTAAACATTTTCGTGTGTTCATACGCTGATCCGCCTGGGTACATGGTTGAAAAACCGCCGCTGAAGAAAAAGGTATTTAAAAGTGCCTAAGAGGCTTGAAACGCAGTGAGCACACAAATTAAATTACATTTTTCCGCCGAAGCCTTAAAATTGTGTGTACCGCCGGAGTACCCTGCGAGCAGTGGTTTCAATTCTACTACAGGCAGAACTCTTGCTACGAAGCGCCTTCCAGTACCACGGGACGAATAAATTAACCATGAACAGGTAAAACCTGTTTAAAAACAAGTTAAGGCTGTAAATGAATGTTGTTTGTTTCTAGCTGGTCGAGTCAGCGAAGACGGCCATGTTTTTACCGAGGAGGACTGGTCCTCACTGGAGAACAGTCTCCCGTATGAGAAGAGCAAGCACCTGGCCGAGAAAGCAGCATGGGAACTGGTCAAGGATTTACCAGGTTAATTCGAACATGTCTCTTGTAAACTCTCTTTGTAAGACAAAAGCTAACCTGCGTGCGAATTCTCTTGTTGGGCAGCAAGCGACGAATAAGCCCTGAATCTTTATTTCGAGAGTTCTGCTAGTGCGTTGGTCCTTGCGCGAAAACCAACACGAAACCTGAAAAAAAAAAAAAAAAAACTAGTTAGATTGCTCTTTTTTTGACAAGTATAATTCCTCATTCTTTCTGCACTGGAGATCTGTACAGTACGGTAAATGACCCCCGACCGCAAAAATGGTCCTTTTTGTCTTTTTATAAGCAAAAAAGACGCTAGGAAAAATTACAGATACCTCCCAGCTTTTACCTTGCTCTCAACTGACCCGCTCATTGTTGTTTTCAGATGATGAAAAGTTCGAGTTGTGTACCATCAATCCCGGACTGATTCTTGGACCAATATTGCATGGCTCGAATTGCACTAGTATGGAGGTACGTATCATTTTTTACCCCCCCCGCCCCTGTTAAAATTCTGTTACAGTACTGTTAACACGAGTCCCTACAAATTTTTGCCAGTGTCAGCAACCACGTCAGCATTGGAGTGGCATTTTTTTACCAAAGACGCGTAACAAGGCTCCAGGCCTTTACCGCGGAAATTGTGCAAAAACTTACATGGTTCAGGTGTTAACACAAATCTACTTAACAGTGAAACCATACCTGTCCAAAATTCTGACCTACTTCTGACCAGGAAAAAAACTTGCACAGTTTGCCGTTCAAGAAAATTTGCACGGCTCCGCGGATCCCGTGTAACGAAAGGCGGATCCTTGCAAGCCAGTTTGATCGTTCAAAGATTTGTCCGAACCCGTGTAAACGAAGTTTCAGTCCTATTACCATTTTCTACTGAACCCGCCTGTAATGGGTTCCTGTTGCCACTTGCAGTTTCACCGACTGTTGCTTGAACATAAGATGCCAATGGTTCCAAAGCTGTCGATGCCAATAAGTGACGTCAGAGATGTGGCCGCGGCACATATCACTGCTATGACGTCACCCAAGGCGCCCGGTAAGTGACAACCTCGTTCCCAGGGTTCTCTCTCTTTCTTCCTAGCCCTGGGAACGAGGTTTAGTAAGTGTGACGGTAAGAGGTGATGTCGGCAGTGTTAGGAATCACTAAGTTGTCACCACTCAAATAGGCGCGGTTTCCAAGAGCGGTTACAGGGTTCGTGCCAAGAGAGCATGACGGTCTTTTTCCTCTCTTGGTTCGTGCGGGCCATTGAAAACCTGTAAAATCAAGAAATTTAAGAAATTCATTTTCCACGACGAAATTTAATTGTCGGTCCTTGAAAGGTATGGAAAATTAAAGCTGTATCTGGTAGATTAGCAAGGGAAATGTAAGACAGAGGCGAGTAATCAAACAGCGCTAAAGGGACTCATTTTGGTGACTGACCGGAGTGTGTCTGTTGAAATTTGTTAGAAAAAAATACCCTAAAACGAGGAATGTTTCAGAACATTTAAAGTGAACCTAACGTCATGGAAAACTTGAAAAAGTCATGGAATTTCGAGAGAGCTCAAAAGAGTACGAACCGTGGTTTCATCTGACCTCACTGAGATGAAATTAAGTTTAAACGATTACGACGGCGACGGGGCTGGCGAAGGCAACGCACTGTGAAAACGCAAAATGTTCAATAATGTTATTCGTCTCTTGAATAAGTCTTCTAAAACTCTGCTCCCACGTGCTTACACTTTTTGGTGCATCTTTTTGTCGTCACTGCACGACTGCTACGTGAAAGGTCTTTATGTAAAGTTCTGGGGACGAGTTTTCATTGAAGGTGGTTTGGATGTTAGCAGCGAGTCCCAGGCCCCTCTTTATCTGCGACCATCTCTCTTTCAAGTCAGTTTTCTGGGGTGTAATGGAGATGTTAACTGGAAAACTTACTTAAAAGGCTTCTATGAGATAACAGTTGATAAAATACGATGCCCTTCTTTGGATGAAAATAGGCCATTTCGTAGTTGCCTAAGCCTCCGTTTTAAATTGAGACTTGTGCGAAGCCATTGATATGAATCAGTTACAGCAGTTAGAAGGATTCCAGGTCTTAAACTAGGTATACGAAAAAGGAAATATAGGAAAGGGGTACTTTTTCTCTCAAAAATGGTATATTAAAGGGTAAGGGATTGGACCTCGGAGCGGAGCCTCCACCAGTCCCCGTATAAAACTTTGTGGACTACCCCCCAGGGGGAGGTCTCAGTATCCTTACTGAGATAAAGATATATTCCTCTTTTATTAGGCAACAGATTCATCGCAATCACTGCTTGTATTTGGGTAGTTGACTTAGCAAAGACTCTGAATGAGGAATTCCGACCTCTCGGTAAGTGAAAATTAACGATGACCATAACACCGCCATTTCCACGTTATGTTACCGTATTTATTCGATTAACCGCCCTGGGCGCTTATTAAATTTTTGGACCTTGAGAGTGGGCGCTTATTCGAGATGGGCGCTTATTCGAGGCTGGGCGCTTATTAAATTTTCACCATTTTCAGAAAGTGAAGTATGTTTATTTTGCAACAAAACAATAAATGCTAATGACAAAACGCGAAGAAGTAACAAAGCAGGTTTCTGTAAAATACTCTGAAGAAAACTCCGTCCTCTGGGAAGTCTCTTATTAGAATGTCTTCACTCAAGTGGGTGGGGTGGGGGTGAACGCTTATTTGAGTTTGATTGAGAAGGGGAGGGGTGGGCGCTTATTCGAGGCTGGGCGCTTATTAACTTTTTCTACCTTTAGGATGGGCGCTTATTCGAGGTGGGCGCTAATTCGAGGTTGGGCGCTTATTCGAATAAATACGGTATCTAAGCCATGTAAAGTCTATAAATAGATAAATAAATGTATATAAAAATTAAATATATTAATACATAAATGAATAACTATTTAGAGGTAGCATATCCACAAAGTGGTTCTTTTTGTTCTGGGCCTGGTCGAACTGGAATTTGGAAATGTTGGTTTGCGACAGGTTTGATTCGTGGCTGATTAAAACGCGCAACATCGTTCTTTATCGCGTTTTGCAACAATAAACAAGTTGCACCGTTATTTTTTGCACGTTCTACCGTGTCATTAGGAAGAGATTTGGAGGTCTAACGATTTCTTAAACCGCGGCCTAAGACTGTTAGACTTCGTTTAGACAACCCACACAGAATGTCTTGCTAAGAACAAATTGAAAACCACACGGAATATGCCAATTTTTAGGTTTAACGTGAGCGTCGCGAATCATCTTAGTCCACTACTAATTAACACTTGTGAAGGCAAAACCACAACGACAAACCAGTGAGGGTCAGCCGGATCTTTAGTAGACCTGGATCAGTAAAATCTTCAATACCAAATTTTAAAATTAAAGCAGTAAACTCATCGAAATATCGGGCAAATATAATTCACCATTTTATTTTTGTTTTCTTTCTTTATTTCTCCTATCACTCTTCCTGCCGTAAGGTCAGTTTACTGCTCTAATTTTAAAATTTGGCACTACTGATGAGACTGTTTTGGGGTTGCTATGACTTCTTTTGGTTTTCACGAAGCTGCGCTGTAAACTGGGTCAAAATTGGTCTCCCCAAAACAGTCCCAACAGTGTCATTTGGTATAACACTGACTCATTTTCATGTCAAAGTTAAAATGGATAAAAATGACATATTCGCCACTTAAGAGACGCCAAGGAAACTGGACCGAGTTAACTTTTGCAAAGACTTCTGGGACTGTTACTAAGGACAGGGAAAAAATTGGCCAATAGCTGTCGAGCACGTCCCCAGTAACGATCCCTGAATCAATTGGGCAACCCATTTCGGCTCCAGTAGCCTTCTCGTTTCTGAAGTGGCGAACGATCATCTCTCAACCCATGTGGCGAACGATCATCTCTCGCCCCATGTCAGGTCATCCAAGACGTTCTTGGAATTCTGGATTCGTTTTTTACGCTGTGGATTCAGCATTCCATTTACTGGATTCCGGATTCCTTTCAGTGGCACTTGTTGAATTCCGGATTCCAATTGTCAGCGATGCGGGATTCCGGATTCCTTGAGTTGAATAACGAATTCCACAGTCCGGGATTCCAGATTCCACCAGCAAAAATTTCCCGGATTCCAGAATCCCGTCATACTTTATATGGGGCAACATATCAAAGAGCTCAGTGTGGCCTTATTGATTCATAAGAAACTGACCAGAACCGCTTTTCACATTTTCTCTTTAAACGCGCGTCATGTTTGTAAACATGTTAATATTTTTAATTTCAGTTTCCACGTTAAACTAACTTGCCTATTATTCATTTCTCAGGTTATAATGTCCCTACCACCCAGAGTCCATCCGTCCTGCTAAAAATTGTTGCGTTGTTTGATGCTACTGTAAAGTTGATGGTGCCCTCTCTTGATCATGAACTTAACATATCCAACTCTAAGGTATCATAGCCGGTGTGTTTTTTTCTATACTGCGCATGCTTTATTGTTTCGAGGTCTAATGCTAATTTTTGCGTTTTCGTTCTTTGGGTGTTTCTTGGTGTAGCGGAAACCAGGGTTGTCCAATATACTAGCACTGTAACGGTGCGTATAAGCCATTTTAGGATCCGTATGGATTGCAAAACTCGCGGTCCGTAAAGAGCTGTTTACGATCCGAAGATTGCATCTCATTGGTGAGACGTAGAATATTTCGCGGCAAGAGAGGGTGTGTACGGTTTTTTGATCCGTACGGATCGTACAGATCGCAAACCTCGCGTATACCGTGCTCTGATGTAATAATGAGATGCACGCTTCGTATGTGCTCAGAATACGAACTGTTAGCAATGCTGACGGTTTGTACTGAGGAGCGCACGATCCGTCAACGGCTCTTAACGGTCCGTAACAGTGCGGCAGTATTGAACATGACTGGCAGGAGAGGCCGGGAATCTTGAATCCACGTTCCACTGACAAGGAAGAGTCCGGAATCCAATACCTGGAGTCCAGAATCCACAGCGTGGAATCCAGAATCCTTATCCGTCTTTGATTACCTTATATGGCGCGACAGGTCATTTGGTAATTGCACCCGTCCTAAACATCGAAAAAAAACCCTTTTTCGGCAACTGGAAAAGTGGAAAATGTGATAAAACTTTTTTTTTTTCACTACATTACAAACCCAAACGACTGAGCATCTTATTTGTTGTTTTTCCATAGATCAAAGCAGAGTTTGGATTCCAACCAAGGGACCTGAAAACCACCATAATAGACATGGCATATAATCTGATTGACTTGGGTTTCATCAAGGAGACTGAAGAGTACAAAAAGGCCAAGGGAGAAGCTAGTGAATCTGAAGAGAAGAAGTGCCGATTTTCAAAGAAATGAAAAGGATCAATCATGGTTTTCAAAGGGGACGGCATAAAACAGTTAACCGACTCCGCTTTCACTTTAGTGTAATCAGGATCATAGGTTAGAGAAAAGTACTTAGTATACGTGTTAAGGTTTAAGGGACGAAAATACTCATTGTTATGGTTACTTGGGGATTTTGTAGCTTTTACTGACCTGTTTATATATTTAAAGATAAGTATGAGAAGAGAAAAGGATGTTGTTAGCAGACTTGGCATGACTATATTTCCTTGCCGAGACTTTCACAAAAGGAATCTCGCGACTGTTAATTCATTTATGGCCGAAAGACAATTATGTGATAATCATTCAACGGACTTTATTATACATTATAATCGCTATCTGTATTCGTATTGGTTAAGAACGTGCAGGTAATTTGGAAATCAGTGCAACCTACAGATTAGTTAGTTATCTGCGAGCACATAACTGACTAATCTGTAGGTTGCGCGCGCAATGCATGATTTCCAAGGGTAGTGTCAAACGTTGTTCCGTGCGATGGTGTGTCTGTCGTTATTCCTTTCATAACAATATATGTATCATAAACAATTAGTAGTTTCGGGTTTTGTGGTATCCAGAGTAATCAAGGTCTCGGTAAGTGTTATCAGCCTTGGCCTTCGGTTCGGGTGATGGGAAGTATCGTATTCCCCTAAGCCTCGCAGCCAAGTATGAATTTTAATATATCGGAATTGGCCTATTTCAAGCTTGTCCATCCCCCCGGGGCATTTGTCGGGCATTTGTCATTTTTTCCTGAAACGGCTGCAAATGCCCCGCGGTAGGGCCGGGCGGTTCATACAAAACCCCCACGGGTGGGGCTGAGAAGAAAGTTAACTTCTTCTCGGCTAAGTTTAGCATAACGGTGAAAGGTTGAAAAAAGGGAGCGACGTTAACCGCTTCTAGAAGAATTGACAAATGCCCCACGTCACGAAGTGTCGGTCGTAGAAATTGTTGTCTCACGGAAATACGGTCTCCTTCCCAGGAGTCACACAATGGACGGGACGTTGCGTGACTTCAGCATCGAAGTGGCGGTCGAAGGACTAACCCATACGATTACAAACAGCCAAAATAAAGAAACCACAAAGTCAATATCTTAAGATTTTCCGTGGTCGCTTACCGGAGATTTCAGAGATTTGACTATATAATTAAAGGAAGGAATTGCGATTGGTTCCAATCCATTCCAGTGTTAGCCTGCATAACCAAGCAGGCGAACGGGTCATTTTTTCTCCTCCCCTCCTCTCGCGCTTCACGCTCGTTTTGCGCTTCGCGCAAAATGTCACGTTCGCCTCGCTTAGCTCATGAGGCGCCCGTTATGCAGGCTATTCCATTGTGGTCAAATGAATGTTGTTCATTTGATATTACTATAGAGAACGGTTTCTTTTCTTTCATACCATCTTGAATAACAAAACATGCAAACAAAAGAGGTTTCACGGCTGGTGTGACATGGAGGAGAGGATCCTGAGAGAACGAGAGGTCAGTCATCTGGGTCGGTTCAAGTGCTTTACATTACAACCCGATTCTCTGGTTGCCTCAAACCAGGTGCAGTATGTCCCGTGTTCTCGTAACAGGAGCCTCGGGCTTCTTGGCTATGCATGTTGTCAAACAACTAGTCGATTCAGGTGAATACATCGTGCGAGGAACCGTACGAAGTCTTGCAAACGACACAAAGGTCAAACCCTTAAAGGAGCTGTCTTCGGAGAATGACAAATACCCACTGGAATTGGTGGAGGCAGATCTTACAAAGAAAGAAACTTGGGTCGAGTGAGTAGTAATAAGCAAAGGTTTAGTTATACCGAAACAACTAAAAAATAACGCGTATAAGAACGAACTTCGTTTCGGTGTCATCTTGACCCCATTTTCAGGTTCAAAATGATTTCTGACAAAACGTGTTTTGGCTGACTGGATTAGCATAAATGAAATATGCAAAGTCACCCAAAAGGTTTTGCTCGAATTGAGTCCTGTTGGATATTTAGAGAAGGCGTTAGTTCCCTAATTAGCAACATTTCGTGTACTAAACAAACGAACTTGTTATTGCACTTCTTAAGGACAGAGAACTGTTTGTTTTTCATGTCATCTCTTGTTTCTATACTTTCTGCAGACGTTTACTGACAAACTCAGAAAACCGTGAACACATGAAAAATTTCTGGAATGTTGATTGTATCCCCTGGTCAATTAAAGTAAAGATCAGGATACGCAAGCAAACCTCAACACCACAAACTATAAAGGCCGATACACACGAGGGGTTTTGCTCCCGTAGCATGCTCTAGGCTCATTTTGTACGTGTCAGTACGCACGAGGAAGCGTTTTCAAGTTCGCTCAATTTGCCCCGGGAGTTTGCTCCCAAATATTTAACCTGTTTAATATCGTGGAGCATTTTGCGGGGTGGAAATTCTGCTCTCGAGGTAACCTGCAGGTTACTCTCGAGGATGAAGTGTACCCATGAAATCGTTGGTACACACGGAGGAGCTTTGCTCCCGGAGCGTGCCCCTGGAGCATGCTCCGGGGGCAAAACCCCTCGTATGTATCGGCCTTAAATTTACCGTTGCTGTTTGCGGTTTAGTTCGGACGCGAAATCGAGTGTCGCTAATCGTGGGTGGTAGGTAGAGGTCGTGAATCGTGGTTGAGGGTCTGGGTAAATGGCGTGGGTGAAAAATGTATAAGAAAAAATGATAAAGAAAGGTAATTAAAATAAAAAATGGAACAAAAATTTTAAAAGTTATGGAACGAGAATCTCCGACTCCTTGATTGCCCTTTTCACGGCTTCTTAACTTCTTCGGTCCTCTTCCTGATATTTCCTTAGCCACGTGGGACTTGGCTCCCCTTTCACAACATCACTGAATAAGAGACATGAAGATGAAGATTTATCCATACCTGAGCGATCGCCGGGAAATATACGAAACAGTTGTAAAATGTGTCGAAACGTGCAATTTGCAGAAAGTATGGGACAGCTCTGTCTACATTTCCAATGAGCTATCTCATAGTTTTGGATAGAAGTCTTTTTCAAAGAAGTTTTAGGTATTTTAGCTTAGGAGAACCACCTTCACGCTCAAACTTTCAAGTTAAGGCGAGACTGTGTAAATTTTATTGCTGTACAGAAATACAATTTTCTAGATTCCTTTTTGTTTGGTTTTGTGTACAAAATCTTTGCTGTAACAATTCTGAACATCATTCCTTCAACTGAAAGGACGTTTCAGTCACGAATGTTGACATCTTTAAGAAAAAGTAGGTCTCCAGTTTTTCTTTAGCCGGCTTCAGGTTTACATATTGTACAGAATTTCTTTTGTTTTTCGCGTGAATGGCTTTTTAGTGTCCATTTATACTATTTGCTTTGCTGACCGCGAGAAAGGGGAATAGAACTTGTATGTACACGGGGATTTTTGTTTCATGAATTTTACATTTTTTTTTTTTTGGAAAACTTTTTTTTTTTTACCCACGAATTTACCCACACCCACGACCCACGACCTCTACCCACTACCCACGACCCACGACATTTAGCTACACTTCTCGCAACACAATAACATTCCATAGACATTTCTGGTAATCTTCGGTTGATAAAAATAGAGATTTAAATCAGCAAAAGAAGCAAAAGAAGCAAAAGCCGAATTGCAAAGCGAAATGCAACAAGTCCAACAGTTGCTTGTGGCCCACGAACCGTCTTCTTAAAATCGATGCTAAATTGAGTGTATATCAACACATCAACAAACTACACATCAGATACATTCTTTTTTTCTACAAGAATATATTTTATAAGAATATGAAGGCTGAAATTTGCAAAATTTTAAGAATTTTTCAAGAATAAACCCGAGGCTGAGATTTCGAAAAGGATGATTATTTTGAGTGATGAAAATCTAAAAAAATATGTTTTCAACCGTATCGAATTATTGCTTCCTCCCACGGCAAAACTATCCAACAAAACGAAGAAACCTGCATTGGTTATAGCCAGTGACAGTTCGATGAACGCTACATGAAATACATTTAAATAGTCAGGAGCCCTGCTATAGTATACAGCAAAAAAAAAAAAAAAAAAAAAAAAAATGAACAAACTCCAAAAAGGATACGATAAATTCTTTCTTTTTCAATGATAATTCAAGAATAATACAAGAATATTTTCAGGCTAAAATCGGCAGAAAAATAAGAATATTCAGCCTGGCCCAGAAAAACAACATTCTTATATTAAAAAGGAGTGTACAAAAATAAATATTTCCTTTGCGTTTATTTTTGATTCCAATATTTGAGCGACCTCATGGCAAATTTTACCGCCAAACAAATAATGAAGTATTGACAGTATTTTTATGATAGTGTCACTGATTTTTTTGGTCTAAGGCTTTGTTTCAATAAACTGCAATTTCATTCAAGGGCAGCTGTTTTATTTTAGAGGGGAGATATGAATGTATGCACTCAACAAAGATTTAGTAATTTTTTTCCGCAGGCTTTCAATATAACCGTGAATATTTCAGAATATTTACCTGTTTCAAACGCAGCGGCAAACAAGAAGCCAAAAATATCACCATGCATTTCACTTTTAGGTCTTATTGATGACAAGTAGTATTGGGGACGACAGAATGTTAGTTAACATATTTCAATTTTTCTGTCCTTTCACGTGGAAAATTTATGCCAAATTATGGGGTAACGTTATGAAGCAACGTTTTCGTTGTTGTGCCTCAGACGTTTTGAAGATATAAAAGTGCAAAAAACGGGCCGTGGTTCCCGAAAGCATGATTACTGGAGTCAAATATAATAAGACTATTGAGTAACCATTGTTAACTGGTGGAGATGAAAAAATGGCTCATCTGCGAAATTTTCGAAAATTGAAAATGATACATAGTTGAAATAAGTAGGTTCCCGGAACTCAGTAGAATTTGCTTCCCAGCGGATCATGTGTTCACTGTTGTTTTGACCTTTCTACAATGGCCACCTCACTACAATGGTCAGTTTCTCTGTTCTTAATATGGCCGTCGCGGAGAAGCTGGGCTGTAAGGACAGCCCGGGGGGGGTACTTAGGTTAATTTTTGCTGGGTATGTGCCGCTGCCTCTCAGAGCACCTACCCCATTATAGTCTATTCTGTGGCCAATTATAGACCCCATCTTAGTTACTTATGGGCAAATATGTAATTTTCACAATCCCAACTTAGTCATTTTCTACCTCATCAATCCGTTAAATAAGTCATTCTAAAACATGAATTGACCCATTTTTCACCTATCCCACTCTAGTAACTTTATTGAAAATGCGATCCCATTATAGTCAATCCAGTCGTGAAAATGCGACCCCATCCAGCGGCACATCCCCCTACACCACCTAGAAGAACAGCTAAAATCAAAACTTCTGAAAAATACTGAAAAAACTAGAAATACCAGATAATAGCATGGGCACATTATAGAGATCTTACCTGAATAGTTTCAGGTAAGCTTTCAAGAAGTTGGGGTATTCAAGAAAGTTTTATACTTGGAGGCTCCGCCCCTAAGTTCAACCCGTAACCTTTTTATATACCATAAAATGCACAGCCAATTAAATGCATCTGTAAGCTCTTATTTCGGGCCTTTTTACAGACCAAAATGACACATTTTCCTAAAAAATTAACCTTTTATATACTTTAACTAGTGAAATCTCTACCCCGCCTGAAAAAGGTACCCCTTTCGGGCGGAGCTTTTTCGTATAGGCCACTGATTATAAGGAGTACCCCCCGGAATTTTGATCACAAAGCACTTTCCGGGTATTCAATACGATGTGTCGTTTGTCACCACTAGGGCTGTTAAAGATTGTACTTACGTCATTCACGTCGCGTCACCGTTGCCTACTGGGAATCCAAGAAATGATATGGAGTTGATAGGACCCGCGGTGGACGGAACAAAAAGCGTGCTTGAAGCTTGTGCCAAAACCAAGGGCGGAGTGAAAAGAGTCGTGCTAACAAGTTCATGTGGCGCGATTATGGGTAAGAAAACAGGAGCCATTGACACCTGTAAGGGAAAAGATTGTCATATTGTTACAAGTATGTTAATTGCGAGCAAGTCATTGAAATGATTCGTAGCCTCTTATCTTTATTTTTTGTTTCTAGCTGGTCGAATCGGTGAAGATCATATTTTTACCGAAGAGGACTGGTCGTCACTGGAAGGTAGTTCACCGTATGAGAAGAGCAAGCATCTCGCCGAGAAAGTAGCCTGGGAACTGGTCAAGGATCTCCCAGGTTACCAACAAACATATAGTACATAATCGAACAGCATTTATGTTAGAATTCATGTAGTAAGGAGAAGCTATCTTGTAATCAGCAGTGCCGTATCCAGACCTTGAGATAAGGGGCGGGGGTCATCCAGACCCTTAGATAAGGAGGGGGCCCTGTCTCAAATAAAATTTTTTTCGGCCCTTCGGGCCTCAGTTTGGTCTAAAAATAAGGGGGGACCCGGGCCCCCTGGGTCGCTCCCCTGGATCCGCCACTTATCAGGGCTTCCTCTTGGGGAGTGGAGGTGAGGGGATAGGAGGAATGGCAAACGAGCGATTAATCTTTGTCGGTTTTGTACGAACTGAGGCGCTAAGCTGGCTCATGAAGTGCCCTTTCAAACATCAACGCAAAACCCGGCGCGAAATCTCAACAGAAGCTAAGTGCCTGGCCAACTACACAGCTGAAAGGAATCAATTTTCAGAGACTTGAATCGTAAAGACTATCGAAATCTATTCCATAACCACATAACGATAAGAAGTATTGGGCGGTATCAGGAGCCCATATCCCTGGCGGTGTGCCATCAGCGTAACATCTGGCCCCAGTTGTTCAAACGTTGGATAGCGCTATCCAACGTTTGAACAACTGGGGCCAGATCTTCAATTTTTCATCATAACATGAAATAATTCGAGCGCGCAGTCAGTCAGTCACAGCAGGTTACATCCTCGGTTAAAAACTTTCGTCGCGCCCTTTTTCCCAAACGAACCGACCCCCCCGGGTCTCCGAGGATGAGCAGGGTGTATGCCAGTAGAGACCCGCTCAGTCACAAAGTTCATTATAGTGTTGTACATCCTAGTTTACTATAGCATCAAAAAGACTAGCGAGGAGATTGCTTCATTTACCCCTAAATGGCTGGCACTAGCGACGAGTAAGTCGTTGATAATACTAGCCTACGAGCAAGCTCTCCATTAGCCTGTTCCAGAGTGGGGAAGACGCGAAAGTGATAGGGACGTCTCGCGGCTCTCTTCGCTTGGCACTTGAAATGGAGAGCTTTTTCGCAGTTTATGATAATCTAAGCTCCTATTACAGGGCGTTCAATAATTTTTTCCAATGAACGGTGCAGTGGTGAAATAGGTGGTAGTGAGTAAAAAGTGGTCTTACTCACCTAGTAGAATGAGGGGTATAAAATCTAGAGCCTGTGAAATGAATTGGTAGCATTTCTGGGCATCACAACGAGTGCTGTTCATGATTTATGACAAATGTGTGGCGATTGGGCTTTATGAAAAATGAAGTTACAAGATTTATAGTCTTTCGTTCGTGAATCTTATGAATAAGCCCTTAAAAGACCTAAATAGATTGTGCTTAAGAGAGTGCTCCTTTTATTGAAACCCCTCTATGGACTGTCATTATCGTTTGCAGCTTCACCGGCGACTCCTTGAACGAAAGATACCAATGGTTCCCAAGTTATCACTGCCAATGTGTGACGTCAGAGACGTGGCCGCAGCACACATCACTGCTATGACATCACCCAAGGCGCCTGGTAAGTGGCTGGAGAAATGTTAACAGTTTCTGTCACCTGTTATACAGTTAACAGTAGTTTAAATCAGTAGACCTGATACCGATGATTTAGAAAGCGAGTTCCGAACACCATTTAATTTTCGCGGCTTCCGCGCGGCTCGTTCTCGGCACACGCGGACAAAAATTCCAAGAAAAACGCCTGGGACCGAATCGTCAACATGATAATGAAAATATTTTGCTTTGGCAAGAACATTTCAGCCATGTACCTTGTTCAAATTGCATAATTCTCATTCAATATCGATGTAATAAAATAGAAGAAACCAAATAAAAGCGGCATCTACTCTTTCAGCAAACCCACGTGACGTCAAATCTTGTTCCCCATGTTTCAGCAATAGAGACCTTTAAATTCGAAGACCAGGACGACTACGAGTATGAGATTGGACTTAAAGTTTTTTCGCGTATTCTCAAAATAGACTCCCCGGAAAGCTTCATTTTACCATTTTTCACAAGAAAAGTTAGCACTGTTATCTTTAGTGAAGGAGATTACGTCCCCTTCCGATCGCAAAATGATAAAACTTCTAACATTTGATAACTTGTTTTCGCCAGTTCGACATTCTCACTAAGACTCGTAGTAGAATGACGACGGCTACCACGTTTTCCTGCCAAAATGACGCTGGTTCTCGCGCGAGCACTACTTAGTATTGAGAAAAACTCGTACACATAGTCGTACTCGTCTTAGAATCTAAAGCTCTCTAATTTAAGATGGAACATGGTGCCCCAACTCAGCGGCTCACTCATCCTCATTGACATTATTCCTTTACGGACTTTTGCTAGGAAACAGATTCATCTCAATTACAGCTTCCATGTGGATAGTTGACCTAGCAAAGATCCTGAATGAGGAATTTCGACCTCTTGGTAAGTGACAAATAGAATAACAGCAGGAAATAACATACGATGAGTATACGATACCATGTAGTATATAAATTTAGCTAGGGCTAAAGGCGAAGCTCACGTTGAAAAATTTATAATTTACTTCAAACAAACTTAAACTTGTAACTATTGCAAAGAAGTCTACTTAGAGTTGAGCCTGCAATCAGTTGAAAATTAGTAACTTGTCACGGGAGAACTTCAAAAAACACGTAACCTCGATGGGTGACACCTGAACCCGCGTTACGGTCAAGTGATACTGGTCAGCGGATTCCCTGACTTGACAGCTGTCAATTGACCACAACATGGCTGTGCAATATCAAGTTGCGGCTCCCACACTGGCTAGAAAGTGTGACATTTCACATTGGCTTCCCTGTGGTGCGAACGAAGGGCCGGGACGGGCGGACGTAAAATCACGTGTCAACCAAAACTTCTCGGATAGATAAACAACCAAATTTTCTTAGCTATGGGGCTCCGTTCACGTGCGCTTGGTGCTTCGCAGCAAAATGCTTTGATCTGATATCAAACACTCCCAACAAAATTTTGATAGCCTACCAGCAGGCTCACTTGTGTGAGTTTGGGAAAAATTTTGGCGGCAGAACGTTTCCTCGCGCAATGGCGGATCCACCGCCAAAATATTCCGCGATTTTTTTTATTGATATCATGCTCGCTCGTCAGGTCCAGAGGAAGCGTGTTCCAGAACTTGGCTCCGCTGAACCTGAAGGAGCCCTGGTACTTAGTTGTCCTAGCTAGCGGCAGAGGGAGCAAATCTCTATGGCGCGTGTTATATGAATGGAAATCGCGCGAGTGGCTAAATTCATTGAATAAGTGTGCTGGAGCCTGCTCAGGCTACATTTTCTTAATAAGGAAATGCTCGGAGAACAGTTTAGAAAATTTACTGCAGTCGATATCGCGAATAGGGTCAAGCATGTAATACTTCCGCTTTCAAATTCGACGTCAAAGTAACTGTTCATTTCATTTCTCAGGCTACCGTGTCCCACTACTCAGTGTCCTAACGTTCTACTTAAAATTGGAGCGATGTTTGATAAACCTTTGAAGATGGTGATACCCTGGCTTGACGAAGAGATGAGGTTGGACAACTCGAAGATATCATAACTAGCGCATTTTTGTGTCCCGTGTGGCAATTTATTTTTGGGGATATTTTCGAGCGCTGCGTTAACATATAGTGGTAATAGGACTGAGTGGAGTCCAGACCGGTCTGTAATCATACGAGTGATTGACAAAAGCGGGAGTCCGATTCGTTTTATCACGAGTATGATTACATACCGAATTGGACGACACTAAGTTCTGTTACCAATTAATCATAACCATAACAAAATTGGTGATATTTTAGGCTTTTTAAAATTACGACAAAAGAAATTCCGAGAAATTTTTCATTAGCAGTGAAAACAGCCATTTAAGTGCGCGCGTACTGTCCAATTACTTAGGCATGATGCGTACCGGTCCTATTACACTGTCCTATTAGTGCTGAAATCAGGACAGTTGATAGCCAATCAGATTTGAAAATTTTGTTGTAGTTATGATTAAAGTAATAATGCTAATGGTAATGTTGATGATTACGATGATGATAATGAATAATGACAATAATAATTTATAACTCGCCTTTTCCATTCAGAAATGATAAAAGCGCCGTACAAAAATGCTAAATATGTAAAAATTAGATGATAAAACCTGGATTAAAAGTACTTCAAAGTGTAAATGAAACACTGAATACAGTTCCTGGATCCCGATACAGTAGATAGAACCTCGATATAACGTACCTTTTTATAACGAAGTCCTCGGTAAAACGAACGATTTTCTTTACCCCAGTAATAGTAAAATTTTATGAGGAAAAGAACCTCGTTATAACGAAAACTTCGTTATAGCGAACACATTTTTCCCGTTCCTTAGCCCTTGGTTATATCGAGGTTCCTCTGTACATTATGGGGCAGTTATTTCAACGAAGTTTAGCCAGTGTTTAACAAAACCGCGTTTTAAGCCACTTTCAGTTTGCCGAACGCTTTTATGTAAACGCCATTTATCGTGAACAGTTTCATTGGAGCGTATGAAGTAGACAAGAAAAGCATTTGTCTTCTTAAAAGAACCCAGTAAGGAAGAGATCTGGAAGTCCAAAGATTTCCTAAACTGTGGCCTAAGTTGAACTTCGTTTAAATAACCGACCCATAGTGTACAAATCAGTTCCACAATCTAAGAATAGCAGGTCGGGACCGAAGCACACTGTTGCATTTATTTATCTCTACGGTGTATCTCTACCATTAGCCTGCGCCGAAGACATAACTAAACTTCTGGTTAAGTTCGTCTGCGATACAGCTCCGAAATCCTTGTTCTGGCCCTCACCTTTTAACCAGGCTTTGATTACCGGCCATGATTGGCCTTTTAAAAATCAGGATCTGTAAAAATGCGATTGTCCATTTGCCAGTCAGGTTAAAGAGAAATTCAAAACGCATTTCTGGCAACTCGCCGTGTCTGTTAAGGGGCCCAGGACAAGGATATATGCACCGCTTCGCAGACGATACTATGAACTGGGGTTAGATTAGCCTCGTTCCCAGTCATCCTCGGCGATTTCGGATGTGACGTCACCTGTCAAGTTTGTCGGGAAATTTCGCGCTCGGTTCCAAGGCTCCCCTTGTAACTCGGATAGCGCGAACTGCCCTGGGTACGAGGCTGGTGTTAGATTACGTCTGCTATGTGTGCGACAGGATTCGATTCAATATGTAAAGAAAACCTTTATGACCCACAATCCTTTGCGTCGTTCTGAAGAAAGGCAGTCGCTCGAAACGTAGTCAGCTTTTGAGGGCGTGGTTGCCTTTGACAGTAAGCGGCCTTTCTAAATTATTTTTGTTCTATTGTAGATCAAAGCAGAACTTGGATACCAACCAAGAGACCTGAAAACCAGTATAATAGACATGGGATATAGTTTGATTGATATGGGTTTCATCAAGAAGACTAAAGAATACGAGAAAATGAAGAAAGAGACGAGTGAATCTGGAGAAAAAAGTGCCCTGTAACAAAGCCTTGATAGGGACAGGCAAGCGAATTTCAGGATTTGAACTTGAAACTTTCCGAGATCGAAACAACGATTATTACTGGGCCAAACAGCTGCTGGTTAGTCTACGGTAGTGGCCACTGTAATAAATTTTGAAACGTATACTGAGGCATAGAGAAAAAATGAACTTACGAAAGTACTTAAAATCACGCCAGATATAGTAATTAATCCGTCGGCATAGCGGACAGTAGCGCCTTTAATGGCTCAGTCAATTCTAAGCGTGCCCATACCCCCGGGCATTTGTCGGGCATTTGTCATTTTTTTTTCTGAAATGGCTTCAAAAGCCCCACGGTAGGGCCGGGCGGTTCATACAAAACCCCCACGGTGGGTCTGAGAAGAAAGTTAGCTTCTTCCCCACTAATTTTGACGTAACTGTGAAATACTAGAAGAATTGACAAAAGCCCCACGCCCCGCCGGGAAGACGTTTTCTGACAAAGTTCCCTCCGCTGGCACCGACAAGATGCCTGACAAATGCCCAGGGGGATGACCACGCTTGGAATTAACGGAGCCATTAGAATTGTGATATTTAAGTTTAAAAACTTCCGCGGACGGTACTTGTGATGCCTTTGTACTTTAGCAATGAAAACTGTGAACAAGACTGCAACAGTACTGCCTTGAGGTGCGATAGGACGACCTCGTAAACCACTTTTCTTAGACTGTTTCAGTTGCTTAAATTATATGATAATTTTGTGTGTTCTTCTTTTTTCATAAATCATACATTAGTCAGAGTGAAAGCGTCGATCGGCGTTAAGAAACAAAGTGAACTCGAAAATAAGGCACGTAAAATTATGTTATGTTAAATTTTGATGCCTCTATTGTTGCCGCTTTATACTTTTTTTTTCTTTTGAAGAGGGACGCTGAGTAAACAGGGACATTTGTTAACACTAAAAAGCAATAAAAGCTAATTTGGGAAAATTAATAAGACTCACAAGGACTCCTGTGAAAGACGCACTAAGGGTAGAGACGGTTCCCCAATGTCCCTCAGCTTCTGCTTCCTTGATGCAATGCACTCTTGTCAGATGAGGAGGAGCTGGTAACGAGTCTCCTTCGGAAGTACTTGACTGCGCTTTGTCCGTGGAAACGGGAGTAAGGAAGAGTTTTTTGATAGGAGCAAGAAAGGATAGCAGGAGCATCATAGAGGCTTGGTCAAGATTCTTTTATTGTATCGTGTGTATACTTTCTCTAGTCGACTCCCTCTTTAATAACACCCCATGGGGTACTCCCTTTTATTGCCTATGGGGAGAGGCTCCGCTCGAAAGGGGTACCTTTTTCTGGCGTCTGTTATATGAAAGGATAAGGATTTCACGAGTTGAATTATAAGTATATGAAAGATAAAGGCTTTTAGTTAAAGAGTAACAAACATACGCATCTTTTGGCCTGTGAGGAAGTTGTCAAGAAAACTTCTCGTTCAAGTGATTTATTCATGCCAGCCTTTATAAAAGGTGTCAATCTTTCTGAGAAAATCCACTTTTGGGCACAAAACAACCAAATCTGGCCATAAACTGTCAAATCAGGAGAAAAAATCGGCAAAAGATGTTTTTTTCTTTTGAATAAAAAGGGATGCAATGTTCTTTTGACGGTATGTGAAAGGGACCATTTGTCAGTCTTACTGTGACTAAACTCTCTGTAAGTCCGTCATCTCTCTGAGACAGTTGAGGCCTATCACGAAGTGTCAGCCGTAGAGAGTGTTGACTCGAAACACGGTCTCCATTCCAGCAATCACGCAACGGACAAGACGTTGCGTGACTTCGGCTGAAGCTGACCCTTACAAACAGCAAAAATAAAAGAAACCACCAAATCATTATCGTGACATTTTCCATGCTCGCTTACTGGAAATTTCTGAGATTTGACTATATAATAGAAGGAAGGAAGTGCGATTGGTTCGAATCCATCCAGTGTTAGCCTGCATAACAGGTACTTTATGAGTCAAGTGAGGAGAACGCGTCATTTTTTTCCCTCGCCCGTAGTCCCACGCTTCACGCTCGTTTTGCGCTTCGCGCAAAATGCCGCGTTCGCCTCGCTTGGCTCATGAAGCGTTCTTTGTGCAGGCTATTCCAGTGATACAGTGATACAGAACGGTTTCTTTTCTTTTCAATGAAAAGAAAAAGGACCCCATATCATTTTAAATGTGGCATGTGCGAAAACAAAACATGTTTCACGGCTGGTGTAACGTGGAGGAGAGGATCCTGGGAACGAGAGCTGAGTCATCTTCGGTCGTCGCTTCACAATACACCGATTCTCTGGTTGCCTCAAATTAGGTGCAATATGTCCCGTGTTCTCGTAACAGGAGCCTCGGGCTACTTGGCTATGCATGTTGTCAAGCAGCTAGTCGATTCAGGTGAATATATCGTGCGAGGAACAGTGCGAAGTCTTGCAAACGAGACAAAGGTCAAACCCTTGAAGGAGCTGTCTTCGGAGAGTGACAAATACTCACTCGAATTGGTGGAGGCAGATCTTACAAAGAAAGAAACTTGGGTCGAGTGAGTAATATAGTCCTTAATTCACATCCTATTCCCTTGTAATCTCTTGTTTATATCATTTATCCAGATGTTAAATGGCCTGCCTGGGAATATTTGCTGATCCTTTGTAAATAGAGACGGAGTTAAAATCAGCATTTAGTATCGTCACGCAACACTCGCGTGACGACACTAAAAACGGCTGTGTAGCAGGCTAGAATGCAAAGACAATAATTACGAAATGCAACAGGTCCAACAGTTGTAGCCCACTATAGACCGTCTTCTATAGATCGATGCTAAAATAAGTTTTTCAACACATCAACAAGCTACACAACAGATACAACTTAGCGAGATTACATCATCGAATATTTAAATAAATTTGTGTCCTTGGCGTTTATTTTCGATTCCTATATTTGAGCGACCTAATTATCCCTGTGGCAAATTTTACCATCAAACAGATGATGAAGTATTGACAGTATTTTCATAATCTCAGTTTCACTGAATTTTTGGTATAAAGCTTTGTTATAAAAAACTGCACTTTCATTCACGGGCACCTGTTTTATTTTAGCGGGGAGATGTGAATTCAATATTTCCTCAACAAAGATTCAGTCATTTTTTCCGCAGGCTTTCAATATAGGGCCGTGAATATTTCAGAATATTTATGTGTTTTAAACGCAGCTGGCATTCAAAAGCCCAAGATATCGCCATGCATTTCACTTTTAGTTATTATTACAAAAAGCATTCTTGGGGAAGACAGAATGTTAGTTTACATATTTCAGTTTTTCTGTCCTTTCACGCAGAAAAATCAATTAAGAGTACAATAGTTATGAAGCAACATTTTCTTGTTGTGCCTCTGACCCCTTCCACCTCCTCCCTCGCGCGTGGTCTCGCGCCCTAATTCCCTTCTCCTCCCTTTCGAACGCCTGCCACGCAGGCTAGAAGATCGACGTTTGTTCTGGAAACGATCTTCAGACGTTCTCTCCATCTGAAGCAGACGGATAGAACGTGTTGGACGATCCAAAATCATTCAGATGAACTTAGCTGAGCCAGACGTTGATCTTTTCATGAACTTAACTCAATAAGTTTCGTTCGTCTCATGAAACGTTTGGTCTAGGCGTAAGGTGGTTCCGTGTGCCGAACGGAACATCCTGAACACGCACGAATTTCCAATCGGTCGAAAATTAGGGTCATTATACGTCTCAGGGAAACTGCCCACCTACCCCTCCCCTAAGCTAACATAAAAACTTGCTTCTGACTTAAAGCAAAATGTTGGTTCAGGGGAGGGGTAGGTTGGCAGTTTCCCAGAAACGTATAAAATTAGTCCGGTGCCGTGTGAAGGTAGCTTCGTCTTTGTCACGTGACTAGGGCTGTTAAAGATTGCACTTATGTCATTCACGTTGCCTCACCGTTGCCAGCTGGGAATCCAAGAGATGATATGGAGTTGATAGGGCCTGCGGTGGACGGAACAAAAAGCGTGCTTGAAGCTTGTGCCAAAACCAAGGGTGGAGTGAAAAGAGTTGTGATGACAAGCTCTTGTGCTGCGATTATTGGTAAGAGAACAGGAGCTATTGACCCCGGGAGGGCAACCCACCCTATGGAGCGAGAGAGGGCGGGTAGGAGAGAACCCTGGGAACGAAGTTGCCGGGAGGGTACTCCTTATAATGGCCTTTACAGGGAAGGGGTAGGGGTAGGGGTAGGGGTTTCACTTGTTGTTGTAAGGGAAATCTGTCATTTCGGTATCTAAAAAGGCTTGAAAGAGCTAACAGATGTACTTAATGGCTGTGAAAAAGTCGAGTGCATTTGCAGCAGTTAAAGGGGATGCAAAGTTCTAAACTAGGTATTTGAAAGGGGGAACCATTTTTCAATATAAGGTATACGAAAATGTCAAAAATGGTGTATAAAAAAGCAAGGAGTTGGACCTCGGGGCGGAGCCTCCCTGTACATTGACCCCTGTAACAGAATAGATTGTCATATTCTTACAAGTGGGTGAATTGCGAGCAAGTCACTTAAAATGATTTTGAGCCTTTTTTTTGCAGCTGGTCGATACGGTGAAGATCATATATTTACTGAAGAAGATTGGTCGTCATTGGAAGGCAGTTCCCCGTATGAGAAAAGCAAGCGCCTTGCCGAGAAAGCAGCCTGGGAGCTGGTCAAGGATTTGCCAGGTTACTAATAAACGCAGTACATGAACTAACAGCATAGAAGGGTTTCCCATCGGGTGCAGGGTGGAGCAGGTAGATGCGTGGCAAACGAGCGACAGATCTTCGTCTCTTTTGCGCAAACTAGCCTGTGCCAGATTCTCAGATGGTAGGGACGTCGCGAAAATAAAACAAGCCAAGCGAAAATAAAACGCGCGTGATCTGGGGAAAGAGGGCGGTGGCGGGGAAAGTAGGAGAGATCCAGTGCCCTCTCTCTCCCCAGCCCCCCTGCGCGTTTCTCCCAAAACGGTCTACCACTACCCGACTGGTGCACTACTATCTTTCAGCATGCAGCAGGCTATCCGCGAACTGAAGCACTTAACTGGCTCGTGAGGTCGCCGCTTAAACGTCAACCGAAGCCCGGCGAGCGACGGATCTTCGTCTGTTTTGCGCCAACTAAAGCGCTTAGCTGCTTCGCGAAGTCCCCGAACAAACATCAACGGAAAACCCAGCGCGAATTCTCAGCAGAAGCTAAGTGTCTGCCCGCAGGCTAGCTAACTGTACCGCTGAACGGAATCGATTTACAGAGACTTGACTCGAAACTTATGCCATAACCACATTGCAACAAAACGTATTGGGCGATGTGCCGTCAGCGTACATCTAGTCTTCAATTTTTTGTCATAAAATGAAATGAGAAAATCAAATTTTTGAAAAGACTATTCGAACGGTTACTGTTTTCGACAAATATCTCTTCCCTTTTTTAGTGAGCCTTGTTTTCTTTTTCGTCTTACAATTGTACAAAAGCAAGACAAAAAACCGCACTCCAGCAACTGAAATTAACTTCATAGCATAATTAAGAGCTTGTTCTCCCTCGTGACCCATTCAGTGCTAAATTTGTTCATTCAATTTTCTCTCAGATGATGAAAAGTTTGAGTTATGTACCATCAATCCCGGACTAATTCTTGGACCAGTATTGCATGGCTCGAATTGCGCTAGTATGGAGGTACGTATCAGTTACCTCCCTTTTGAATGAGTCCTGTAAGTTAACAGAGACGCCCTCAGTCACAGCTGGATGTATCTCAGTGAAGACGGCGCTCAGTCACTAGACTACGAGTAGTCCCCATTTTCCCTCAGGGATAGAATAGCGAGCGAAACGCGAGCGCGCGTGAAAATCACCCCAGGCGCGTCTCACCTTTCTCGCAGGGGTTATTTTCACGCGCGCTCGCGTTTCGCTCGCTCTACTATCCCAGAGGAAAGATAGGGACTACTCGTAGTCTATTCAGTCACAAGGTTCATTATAGAGTTACATCTTAGTTTCTATGCCATCAAGCACCTAGTGTGGGCATTTTATTGAAACTCCTCCATGGACTGTTATTATCGTTTGCAGTTTCACCGGCGACTCCTTGAACGACAGATGCCAATGGTTCCCAAGTTATCACTGCCAGTGTGTGACGTCAGAGACGTAGCCGCGGCACATATCGCTGCTATGACGTCACCCAAGGCGCCCGGTAAGAGTGGCTTTTAAGCCGACATTTGGACGTTTTAATGACAGTGCCCTGGATAATAAACTTCCCGATATTAACACTGCAAACTAGGACTGCTTGCGGTTTTTCCATTATATTCCACTCGCGACAGGCTATTTTATTTTGCAAAAGCCAAAGTCTTAAACTGCACCCTTTTTTGAACATGCGAAATTCTAGCTTTGTGATATTTCTCGTCAACATGATTTGCTTTGCCAAAACATTTCAGCTACCTACCTCGTTTAAGTATTGCATAATCCTCATTCAATATCGATGAAATAACATAGAAGAAGCCAATTTTAACCGGTGTCTACTCGAGATTCTACTGAGCGAGCAGGTCACCTCTTTCAGCAAACGAAAGTGACGTCAAGTTTTGTTCCCCATGTTTTAGCAATTTTTGTTTGAACATGACATTAACACATATTCCTTGCACTTTTCTTAGGTAACAGATTCATCTCAATTACAGCTTGCATGTGGATAGTTGATCTAGCAAAGATCTTGAATGAGGAATTTCGACCCCTTGGTAAGTGAAAAATAGAATAACAGCAGGATGTAACATACGATGTGTATACGATACCATATAAATTTAGCCAAGGCTAAAGGCGAAGCTCCCGTTCATAATTTATATTTTTTTCGAATAATAAGCTTGTAACCCTTTCAAAAAAATCCACGTAGAGTTGAGCCTGCGATCCATTGAAATCTACTAACTTGTCAGCGGAGACCTTCAAAAACACGTAATCTCGATGGGTCAACACCTGAACTAGCGATACGGTCACGTGATACTGGTCAACGGATACCCTGTTTTGACAGCTGTCAATTGACCACAACATGGATGTGCAAGATCAGGTTGCAGGCTCCCTCACCGGCTAGAAAATGTGACATTTCACATTGTATTCTCTGTGGTGTGGACGGGGAGGCGTACGGTCTCATGTTAACCAAAAGATAGATAACCAAATTTTCTCAGCGAAAAAGAGAAGTACATAAATATTAAATTTTTCGCGCTTCGTAGCAAAATGCTTTGATCTACTATCAAACAGTCCCAACTAATTTTTTAAGGAAATGTATGGAGATTAGTTTAGAGAGTTTATAAGTGGATATCAGGGCAAGGGTTAAGCATGTAATACTTCTGCTTTCAATTTCGACGTCAAAGTAACCGTTCATTTCATTTCCCAGGTTATCGTGTTCCTACAACTCAGTGTCCTAACGTTCTACTTAAAATTGGAGCGATGTTTGATAAACCTTTGAAGATGGTGATACCCTGGCTTGACGAAGAAATGAAGATGGACAACTCGAAGGTACCATAACTAGCGCATTTTTGAGTCCCATAGGGCAATGAATTTATTTTTATGGGTATTTTCGTAAGCCATGGTAATATAAGTGATAATGGTGATGATGATGATGACGATCATTTTGATAGTAATGATGATGATGATGATGATGACGACGATGACGATGACGGCGACGGTGACGGTGACGGTGACGATGACGATGACGATGACGATGACGATGACGACGACGTTGACGGTGACGATGACGATGACGGTGACGGTGACGATGGCGATGGCGATGGTGATGATGATGATGATGATGATGATGATGATGATGGTAATGATGGTGATGAATAATAATAATAATAATAATAATAATAATAATTTATAACGCACCTTTTGCATTCAGATATGATAAAAGCGCAGTAGCGAGAAGCGAAAGGGCTTTGAGGTATATCTTCAAAGATAAAAGTGCATCTTATCAAGATCTCTTGCAAAGAATAAGACTTCCATCTATGGAAACTCGAAGAATCCAAGAATTGCTATTGACAATAAACAATAGTATATCGGACAAAGCTCCACCCCCAATTAGAGATCTTATCACCTTACGCTCATCCAAGTATACTCTTCGAAATGATCATATCCTTTGATTGCCTAAAGTTAACTCGACTAAATATAGTCTCATATTATGGAGATATTTTGCCGCTGAGAAATGGAGCGAGCTACCAAATGATATTAAAATTAAAGCAGGCACTAATGAAGTTAAGAACAAAATTTGATTGCCTAAGTTTGACTGATAACAGAATTTTTAGTAACTGCTGCCTGTTGCTTTTGTTGTTTTAAACTTCTTGTTAAGTTCGTCTGCGACACAGTTCCGAAATCTTTGTTCTGGGCCCCGACTCTACTCCAGGATTTGAGCATGTGCTATGATTGGCCTGTTAAAAATCAGGATCTGTAAAAATGCATAAAGAAATGTCTAGGGTTGAACTCTGTTGCAAAAATTTGCTAGAAAGTTGTTATCGTAATTTTAGCAAAAAGTGATTCACAAGCAAATGGTGTTGTCAGTCACTTACTGGCAAACAGAATAATTCTTGCTATCAAAAAAATACTCTGAAACTACTTAGTACGGCAAGAATAACAAGAAAAACAAGTTTATCAAAATTCAAGACATATAAAGACATATAAAGACAAAGAAGGCCCTCGATAAGTCCGGAAATTTCGCAAATCGCAAAAGTAACAAGACTTTTCTAAGAATAACAAGAATTGCGATGTTTTTTGATTTTTGTTATTAAGTTTATAAAATCCTTGTTAGTTTTACGAATTTTGCTACCGTTTGTAATTCTTATCGACATGCTTCGCGGACGTAGGCTGCCTACCATTCGATTCGATATGCAAATGAAACCTTTATGACCCACAATCCTTTCGGCGTCGCACTGAAGAAAGGCAATCACTCGAAACGTAGTCAGATTTTGAGGACGGGGTTGCCTTTACTTTGACAGTAACGCCTTTTTAAATTAAAAGAACTTAGCATTTCGTGTCTTGTTCTATTGTAGATCAAAGCAGAACTTGGATACCAACCAAGAGACCTGAAAACCAGTATAATAGACATGGCATATAATCTGATTGATATGGGTTTCATCAAGAAGACTAAAGAATACGAAAACATGAAGAAAGAGATGAGTGAATCTGGAGAAAAAAGTGTCTCGTAACAACGTCTTCACAGGGACAGGCTAGCGAATTCCAGGATTAGCTGGGATTTGAACTTGAAACCTTACGAGATTGAAACAACGTTCATTAGGGGACAAGTAATCCACTGTTGATTGTTATGACTCAGTTATTGGCCACAGTATACTGAAAATACTGTAACTAGTAATGGTTGACACTACAGCTGTCCCCCGCTCTGCATATTGTCGGTCAATAGTATTCTTGCTCGTTGTGTAGCTCTTTGAAATATACCGATTCATACTGAAGATTTTCACACATATTCCATACAATAGGTGAGATAACTGGGAGGAAACGCAAGGTTCCATGCACAGTTTCAGTTCGATTTACACAGCTTTGATCAAAACATTCTCAGTTTCGAGAATAGTTTATTCTATTAAAACCATAAGAAAAGATTTAATTTGAAGTTGAATTTTTCGCTATTTCTCTTTCACTTTTTACATTCAGTTCATTTTATTTGCGGGAAAGTACGCCTTCGCGCATTCTAGTCTTCTTTTAAACTTTATAGCGGAAGGACATCTGTGAGCAGGGAATAAGTCAGCAGAGAATTTGATTGTCAGCGAATTTCTGTAATCGTCCATCGTTCTGCTAGTGATAAGCTAGCCGTTGATTCACTCGTCTTGCTTGTTTGGGCTTGAGTCTTATTCCGGTCAAAGAGAGAGAAAGAGTGTCTGGTAAGGTTTCCAATCAAAGGTTTGTGAACTCGTGTCTGGCAAACTCTCCAAGTGTTTATGTATACACAGTTTTACACGCCCTATAACTTTATCGGCGCTTAACGAGTCTCTTTTGATCCATAACTTTCAAAACAACTGCTCCACAGAATGTCACTGATAACACGTAACGCGAAAGAGTATCGAAGTACGACTGCACACATAAATGTCACAAAATCTACCTAAGCGGTCCCTTCGGGATTTTCTGTCTTTACGTCATCCTAACCATTTCGTACTTACGGGCGCAAACAATAGAAACGTCATCATTACCTACCGATTCCTCGCGGCCCCTGTTCAAGCAAATCGAGATTTTTTCTGGCATACTGACTGTATCTTTCAACTGTAAGTACTTTCCTTAATAAACGCGCCAGTTACTAGAGTGCCTCCAGAAGGCGAAATCCCTTCGGGGGCAATAACATACTGAGAGAATTTTGAAGATAAAGAAAGTCATTACAATATGCAATAAATGATCTGTAAAGCGGCTGCGTAAATTTAATGGAATTAGGAAAAAAGCCAGCGTATCCAGCGTATCTCGCCTGCTGAACACATCTGTCTCTCCAGCAGTCACTCATCGCTCCTAACCACTCAATCGGCCCTCCTTTTTTGCCTTTCTCCCGATCCCCTACCCCTTTCCACGCCTGCTACGCAGGCTTTGTATTGTAAATAATCAAATAAACGCCTCTTCTCACAGGAAAAGATAACGGATTCCCATTTTTGGATATTTTAGGCTATTTAAAGAATATCCATAAAAATCCCAAATTTGGCAAAGTGAGACAAGTCCCAACCAGGGAATTCCCAGCCAAGTTCCCTGATTGGGGCTTGTCTCACTCTTCCAAATTTGGGATTTTTGTGGGTATTCTTTAAATACCCTAAAATATCCAAAAATGGGAATCTGTTATTTTTTCCTGTGTCTCTAATAGACGCTCCCTCTACAATGTTAAACTGATTAGACGCCATGAGAATTACTCCAAAATACCAGCAAAAGGAGAAAAATCATTGAATTTATTCAGTTTCTTGCTTGATTAACAAGGGTTTGTGTATTGTCTTGTTCAATGTCCAGTTCAAAGTAAGGATGAACTAACGATGACAACAAAATGACCCTGAAAGAGGATTCTGACATCCATGTTGATATTTGAAACAGCCACATGGATCTCTAGAGGATATATAGACGTATCAATTGATGAAATGGATATTCTGCTATTTTTTAACTTTCTTGACATTTCCGCCGAAAGCACATTAGTTTTGTTGAGCTTGTTACAGTTACAATGAGAATGAACGCCACCCCACTCCATCCCCCCCCTCACCAAGTCGGCCATGCAGTCGGCAGAGTCACAGCTGCGTGAATATAAGCCAAGACACTAACAACCAAAACTCTCAGGTATGAATGATGTTCCTTAAAAACTGGCGTCCTCAGAATAACAGTTGCTACAAAGGTTTTCACTTACCAAGATTGTGATTCTACCTTAGCTTGTATTAATTGCATACAAATCGGAGGAATATAAAGATCAAAACATGGCTCAAGTGCTTGCCTACGGGAGGAAAAAAACAAAAAAAAATTCCAAGACCGTCATTCAAAAGAGTGGTTAAAGTCGCTTAAATGGGAGGAAGTCGTTTATGAAATGTTACAACAGTAATGATTTGAGTGGAAAAAGTTTTGGCGTTTTTACTAAGAGGTTGCTTAAAAGTGGTGGTTTCTTCTTGCAGCACATCTTGGTTGGATCTGCATTACGGCGGCCGCATGCAACAGAGTATTCTCCTTTAGACTACCAGAGCATGCCAGATGTTGGCAAAATTCCACGTCAACCCTACAGATCACAGTCCTCATGTACAGTCTACACTTATGCAGATCGTCCAGTCTCTGCAAGAGAACAGTCATCACACTTGGGAAGACACACCAAGTCAAGGTAATGTTGAGAAATTGCTACCCAGTTTATAGCTCAGTTGAGAGGTCTGCCGAGTAGGAAGACATAGATTCAAACCCCTCCCAGACCAACAAAAACTTGTAAGATCATAGTGGCTGTGATTGAAGATCTTGTCCCAGTTTAGATGATCGTGTCATTGGGTGGTGATGTTAATTTGTTGGCCTTAATCGTCTTGTGTTCTCAATTTTATATTGAAAGGGGCAAAAAAGAACCCACACTGCTGTTTGAAAAGAGTAGGGGATGTAGACCCTGGGGTGTGGTCTATCTCTCATGGAGGGAGGGGTCTGTTATAGGCACGCAGTAACTGGCATCATGTGCTGTTGAAGTAACCCTGCCATAATTGGCCAACCCGAGTAAATAAATAAAAAAAATACATCATATGACTGTATAGTTCCCAGTAAAAGATGTTTCTGCTGGTAGTTTTTGTCAAATATCTAAATGAAGTTAAAGTTTTCTGTTAATCATTAACTGTGTAAGTTTAAACTGTCATCTTCAGCAGGCAATTTTCTAGTGCACTGATGCCCATACACTATGCATGCTACAGGCCTCAGTGCATGGAAAATATTAGGAAATTGTGTAAATTTTCTAGAAGGCAGCACTGTATACAGTATGTGTCAGAAAAAGTCACCCCATTAATTTTATCAGAAGCCTTCAGTAATGCTTTTAAAGTGTATAGTTTGTTCATTGTATAGTTTCACAAAACTAACATGAAATGTAGGTCCATTGAATTTGGAGATTTCATTCAAGACTACATAATATAGACTGTGCTCACCCCAAACCTACTGTGTTCCTGAATTCCCCCCCCTGCTTCCCCTCTCTTTTAAACAGTGAAACTTCGGAATATATGCAGACTGACATAAACTATACCTGCTAACTCTCACGCCTTAGGCGTGAGTCTCATGCCTGCGGGTTGAAATCTTTGATCTCATGCTGGCTCAGGCCTGCGGGCCAGTTTCTCACGCCTGATTGAAAAATGTGACTTGTTGCCGTCTTGCTTGACACAATTTCCAAAAATATGTTAACTCAGACCCATGTAAGGAACGAAAACCATGTGTAAATGAATAAATAACAATACCTTCCTCGCGATCTCTGATTTTGTGGATAAGCGTTTTCTTGATAACTTCGCCTTCAGCAGACTTCGGACGTCTTCGGAAGACTTCGGACTTCTTCAGAAGACTTCGGACTTCTTCGGGAATCTTCGGAAATGATCGTGTTGTCTGCAAAAATCCCAGAACTCCCAGGATAAAAATCTCACGCTTATATCTCAGAAAAAGTTGGCAGGTATAATAAACTTCAGATACAGGTGTAGGTTACAGATTTTTCAAAACTCTCAATGGTGTAGTCCCACTTCGCAGACAATACGGTTTTGTCACATGACGATTGTGTGACAAGCCAAAAGAAGAATGTCTGTATGGGAGACTGTTGATGGTGTTACATTGAAAAATTTCTCTTTTGTCTAGCTTGTTAAGATGCAAGTCAGCATCATCTGCCTCATTGTACTCAGCTTCATCAACATCAACTGTGAACTCAGCTTCATCACTTAAATCTTCATCCAGCAAGAAGCGTCTTTGTGAAGTCCGTAAGTTAACTAGTTGATAACTTTTACGGATAAAAATAATTATTACTTCAGTTAAATGCTATAACCAGTGGCAGATCCAGACCTCCAGATAAGAGGGGGGGGCGGTCATCCAAACTCTGAGATAAGGGGGGGGGCGGGTCTTAAACAAATTTTTTTGGGCCCTTCAGGCCTCACTTTGATGCAAAAATAGAGGGGGGGGCAGGCCCCCTAGGAGGCCCCTCCCCTGGATCCACCACTGTTAACCATGATTATACTGTATAAGATAGAGCTGAGAATATTAATATAATGATAACTTAAACCTAGTAATACCTTACCTAAAAATGTAAAAATGATCATAAGGCTTTTGACTCCTTTTTTGATTTGCATATATTATCAAAATTTCCCCAGGATGTAACAAAGACTTCTCTCTCAATCTCACCTGATCACCCAATTATTACCTTGAAATATATGGCCCTTAAAACAAGAGAAGGATCCTCCCTTAGCCTGAAGGCCTCTGGCTCCCACGGATAATATCTATACCCACAAACGTTGGACTCTTTTAGGCTATGGTAAAGTGGGCAAAAAAAGCTTACCACAATGTTTTTGAGTTGAAAGCGATACTTCCCGTTTTACCACTATCAAATCTTGCCTGTCTTGGTTGTTCCACTTGCATGACTACCATATCTTCATTGGATAAAATACATGTAAGGTGGCCCAGCTAGCCTGCGAAAACAGCATGCAGCTGCTCCTTGACGCTTGGGACATTTCACAGCGAGCAGAGACAGCTGTTTTCACAGGCTAGCAGTCACCATAAACCACTACTCTCCTTTCTGCAACATTTTTTCACGTTTTTGTTCACATTTTCGTCGCCCATTTTACCATAGCTTTTAACGGCACATTTACTTACTCACAAAACTGTTAGCTAATCGTGCAAAATTATATTGAATTTTTCTCCAGGTGATGATTATAGATTTTTCAAAAGTGGTCCAGTACCCAAACAGTAAGTACCTAAAACCATTATCACTTTCCATATTTATGCGTTATTGACCGAGCAGGAGGTCTGTAAAAACAAAAAATAAGAACTAGGCCAATATGACACCATCTTGACTAAACAAGCTTGGGCAGCAAAGTATTTATTGTAATTCGGCTAGAGACTTTTAATACGGTGGAAGGTCTCGTGAGTGGAAACCCTCGGGACGCGGCAAAGGTGCGTGTAACTGGAGCTGGTCGCTTATGGGAATGTAATATAATACAATGTCATACAGTTTGTATGGAAGTTGAGAAAAATGGCATTTTGTGAAGGCCACTGTAAGTAGAGCTGTCTGCTTATGAGAATGTCAGTTAGGAGAGCTTCCGCTGCACACAGACACCCCAATAATGTGGACAGCTACTAAATCCCTGGCAGAACTTACAGACCTTTTACTGTAACAAAATCCTGCTCTTGTAGACTGCTGACAATTTTTAGTTCCCAACAGCAGAATGACACTGCACTGACTTTGCTCTGTGTCTTGTTGTCGGACACTGGGCGGTGGGGGACTGTTGTGAACCTTCCCAGCGCACAACTGTCCCATGGTAGTGGGATTAGTCCTCCCCGGGTTAACCACATGTGCTTTAATGTAACCCAGGCGGGGGCGCGGCGGCACTCCCCTATAAAAGTGATGGGGTGCTCATTGCACCTTTTAGGGTTTAAATTTGTGGATTGGTACTGCTTAGGGTGCTAAAACCTAAAATGACTGCTGCCGGGGTTGATATGCTTTATTAGGATAAAGATTTATGACAGTACTTTCAAAAGGGCCTTGAGGAGAAAGTTTTTTGGAAATCAAAGTTATCTTTATTACTATTAAAATTTACGGTGCCAGTTATATAATTCTAATAATAAGGGTATAATATGGGTAATGTAAGTCACATCTGATTGGCTTTTTCTTGGGGTCCACTAACACTCGATTTCAAAACATTCTTAACAAGGTGGTGTTACACGAGAAGATTGCAACGACGATTTTTAGAGTAACAATGATTGAACCGTGTTGTAACAATTCGAAACAATGTCGCAACAATGCTGCAAACGCTCTGTTGCGCTCAAAATCGTTTGTTGCAAATCGTCCCATGTGACATCGCCTTAAAGCTGCCAAAAGCTGTTGATGCCTTTAGCATATTGAAAATAACATGCAGCAGTTTTGAATCGTCCATTTGTATTTTTTTGTTGCAGGGTACCACCTCACGGTGAATCCTTGCATGGCTTTCTTACTGGGGCACGATATAACAGGTATGTAAACGTTTACACTCAAGTTAACACCACAAGCAACGGACCCTTTCCTGTTGAGAACAGTTCTTTTGGTCCCAAAGATACCAGACTTCATACAGTCCCTATCTCTATGAGTCGATGGCCCTGTAATCCCTGTCTCTGTAGCATTTTTTGTTTTTATTAAACACATTCTATAGACGAATTTTACGCTAAGAGTAACAGAAAACTCATCGAGAGGGCTCACTTCAGACATTATTTTAGCTGAGGCTGTTATTTTATCCATACGGTGCCTAACGTTATCCCTATCTCTATAACATAGTCACCTTTGTATAGCCGATGCTTAGCTCTGTTCTCTCTGTGTATTATAAAGTTACTTGTGAGAATTTTAAATTTTCAAAATGCGCGCACAAGAACAAGGAAGAGTGCTCGCGAGTCGAGTCCACCTGGCGATAAGGTGCCAAAAATGTGGATAAAAGGCATCTCCTCCAGGGGTTTCAATAACATTAGTTATAAGAGGCCACTGAAGGTTTAATAGGCGGCTGTGACCACTGAAGGGGCCGTAAGGCCCCTTTCCCCTAGGGGCGTCTGCGGGCATGCTCCCCCAGAAAAATTTGAAATCTAGAAGCTCGGAAATACGATTTCCAGCGTTCTGGGCATCAAAAAGCGTGTTGTTGAAGCGTATTTTTATTGACCACAAAGCAGGATTTTTTTTAAAAAAACTATTAAATCACTTTTTATCATTTTTTCATTTTAAATCACTTTTTTATTTTCATTAATGAAATCCAAACGGACGGCGGTAAGAGGTCCTACAGGCGGCGGTAGACCGCTGATAACCGGCTTTTATTGAAACCCCTGATCTCCTCGCGTCATCTTTGAACTTGTCCCGGGAGACCGTCAATTGGATTACCAAATCCAATTGTTGATTTTCCAATAGAACACGAAATTCAGACACGGATTCCGCTAATTTAAAATCAATCTTTGATAGGTCATAGGGCCATTTGGATAAGTTTTAATCCCATTTTATGAATACTGTTTTGATTTTCTCTCTTTTGTTTTCCTTTAGGGCCAGGTATTTGGATTCACGCGCACTCTCCAAATTAGGAGTGTACATTCCCAAGCCTGATCTCAACTCGTTTTTTATCAGCGATGAATTTGATGGTAAGAGAGAGATGAATAGAATATTCTACTTCTAATAACACTCGACCACCGCTTTCAAATGAGTCAACTGAAGCTGAGTTTTGGTGGAGAACGTATTTTAACCGCCGTCCGGTTAACTCAGTTGAACGAGCGCCGGTGTAGCAAAGGCGGGGAGGGAGTGTGTGTGTGTGTGTGTTGTGTGGGGGGTAGTAGATTATGCTGGCTGTGATGATGATCGCGTCATTCAATGGTGACGTTAAACCGTTGGTCTAGTCTCCTTCATCCTTCCTTAATAATTGGAAGGGACCGTAAAAAACGCGCATTACCTTTCGAAAAACGTAGCGGAGGTAGAACCCTGGGGTGTGGTCAATCTCTCATGGGGGGAAGGGACTGTTGCGGGCCTGCAATAACCGACTTCACTCTGTTGCTGTTAACCTGCCAAATTGGCGAATTTAGTAAATCTAAATCTAATCTCGCTCTTTTACCAGCGTACAAATTAGACAGCTTTAGATTCTAAAACGAGGACGACAGCGAGAACGAGATTTTCTCAATACTAAGTAGTGCGCGCGCGTGAACCAGCGTCATTGTGTCGGGAAAATGTGGTAGCCGTCGCCATTCTGCTACGAGTTTTGGCGAGAATCTCGTAGTGGCGAAAACAAGTTATCAAATGTTAGAAATTTTATCATTTAGCGATCGGGAGAGGGCTTTACCTCCATCAACGGAAATAAGCGAACTAACTTTTGCGGTGAAAAATAGTACATGACGCTTTCCGGGGTGTCTATTTTTAGATAATAAGCGAGAAAACTTAAAATTAAATTTCGTCCTCGTAGCCGCCCTTGTTATTGAATCCAAAGCTCTCTATTATCCACACTGTCTAGCCAGTGAGCAAGCTCTCTAAGACGGGCAACACACTGTCAGACACCCTGCCGCCTGAGCCTGTCTTTCGCTTACTCGATTTTGTCGTACTCGAAAGAGAGTCTGCATACAGTGTCGAACCCAGGCCTAATAGCCGTGCACTTGATGGAACAGTTGGGCTCCATTACCAGCCGCTGTTCGGGAAATGAGCCCGCGCTCCCTCTCCTAAAGACTGGATTCTAGAGAGCAGCGGAAATAGCACCGGTCTGTCGAGCAGAAGGTTGTGGGTTCAAACCACGGCCGGACTAACCACCAGGGTCTTAAAAAAGCTGGTAAGACCATGCTGGTTGTGATTTGAGACATTATCTCAGTTCAGAGGATCGCGTCATTGGGCGGTGACGTTAAGCTGTTGGCCTTGTTTCCTTCATCCTTCTGTCATTGGTCAAATCTAAAAGGACGTAAAAGAACCCACACTACTGTTCGAAAAGCGGAAGGGAAGTTTTGGATCTTGATTCAGGTTTCTGAGAAACTGCCTACGTACCCCTCCCCTAAGCCAACATTTTGCCCTAAGTGACAAGTAAGTGATAATGCTGGCTAAGGGGAGGGGTAGGTGGGTAGTTTTCCAGAAACCTAAATTGACCACTCCAGAAAATACCATAACATACCATAATGCTCTTTGTTTGTCACCCCAAAATTTGCATAAGCATTGTCTTCAATTTCTCTTGGGAGTTAAAATGGCCCCAAGAGAAACTGAAAACAATGCTTAGGCAAACTTTTGGGGTGACCAACAAAGAGCATTATGGTATGTTATGGTATTTTCTGGAGTGGTCAATTGACCTGACGTTTTCACGGTGGCATGGTCTACCTTTCACACATCACGCACCATTCATATCATGGGCTTTGGGTGGGTTACAGTAAGCTCATAAATGGACTGATAGTGGCTGTCAATGGCGCCCTTGTTTGCTGACGTCCGAGCTTACTGTTGACATGTTAATGTAAAGAGGGCGCGTCTTGCTGTTCTCTAATCCACGACGTCACACATCACACAGAGGGCTGAGTTGTGACGAGCGGTTTAACAATAATCAGATGCTCGCACTTGAAAAACGAGTGTGACGAGAAAAAAACAAGAATATATTGAATATTATTGCCAAGCAAGAATATATTGAGGAGAAGTTAAATGCGGATCAAAACTCAGTATTCGCTTACCACGAAAGCTCCTTCTCTTCATAATGGTGGTGAATTCTCTCAGCGTGTGACAGTTAAGTCTGTAATTTTTCAGATTCAGATGCGCGAAGCATTTTTTCCGATTGCTTAGAAGAAGAATTACTTGGGCTGAAAGATAAAGACGAAGATGATAACGACGATGAGGAGAGAACATTCTGTTCACGAGCCTCAAACACCGAACCTCATTACCTCAGCCTTAAACACTGGCATTCTGCTGAGTGGAAAACAGACAGAAAACCGTCCAGAGAACTGAGGGTACAATCAGCCCCGTTGAAAGTCAAAGCTATTAAGGCGTATTATCATGACTACAGCAAAAAGTAGTGGGGAATACTACGGTGGAACCCTCTATCATTCTGCCCACACTTTCGCCACCTCCTGCACCTCTATAGACAGACTTTCTTTTTAAAGAGCAAGAGGTTTTAAAATTCTCGGACATTTATTTATACCAAATAGGTAAATTTATGTATTTTTTTAAAAGAGGCTTACTTCCTAATTATTTTCGTGATATGTTTACTCTTGCAAGCCAGATACATTCTTACAATACAAGAAATTCTAGCCTTTTCTGTATACCTCATTGTCGAACTAATTTTCGAAAATTCTCACGTTTTTCAACTCCCTAAGTCGGGGAAATTCAAAACAGTGAAACTATCAGTTTGTGTGGCAAAAGACTTAAAAAATCCCTTCTTTCCTAGTTAAATTTACTCTTTGTTGAGCTACACACCTTTTCTTTTTCTTTTTCTCTTCTTTTGTTTTCTTTATTTTTTTTAAAAAAAAATAATCCAAATTTTCATTCAGTACCCTTAACTTACATTGTTTACCCTATATTTCCAGGAAGCCTATATATAGTTTATAAGTCCCCGGCTTCTACATATGCTTCCTTGCCATTAACACTTTAAACATTTGATCTTGTAAATAATTTAGTTAGAATATTGTATATTATTTTTAATGTATTATAAATTTCTGTATACTGTTGTTGTATTTCTGGTTTATGGCAAAAATAAATGAGTGAATGAATGAATGAATGAACTAACTTGACGCTTAAGGATCCGAGGTGTTCTTAGTCAACAACAGCCACCGAGAGAATGTCTCAATTTTTAATTTTCTATTCTTTTGATCTTCTTTTCACTCCAAACGTATCCATGACACCCACCCCGGTCCTCTAAACGTACATAAATAAATAAACGTCGATGTAATGAGAAAGTGGTTCTTCATTCATAATTCCAGACCACGCGACCTCTCCTTTATGACAGCTTCATAAGTTGCTGCTTTTGCGGCGGGTTTTATACTAAGTCTTTAAAGTCGGATAGGTCTGTGGTGTTCAGAGGCTTGCTTCCATCTTTTGTGATTATTTTGTTAAAATAAAATAGGACGTGAGCTCACACAGAACAATTCATTTTTGTTGTCATTAAGTCATGTTTACATTGCTAACTCCACATAATGACCTTCTAGGTTAGACTTGCTCATAGGGACCTAAGCAACGACGACGTGGCGAAAACGTCTTTTAAAACATGAATTCACGCCGTTTCAAAATTCATCGTTCTTATTCCATGTCGTTTAACTTGTTAATTGTTGATTAATTTTTCTGGAGTTGAGTTCTAAAGGACTGTATCAAAGTTTTAAAAAGGAATTAGAGAACTGGCGTTGTTCATGTGTTCACGGCCTACAGAAACGTGAATTTAGGCAGATTCACGTCGTTGTCGTGCAACGACTTCAAAGAAATGTACAAAAAGAGTGCTGCACGTGCAAAAACCTATTGCCTTTGTTGCTTTTATGGCGGTCGTTGTCGTCGTGGTCGTTGCTCAAACCCCTTATGTCGCTAGACCAGGTTCCTACACTGTCAGTCAACCAATTTACAACCCATTTAGCTTCCATTTATACATGGACCAAAATCCCCGTTAAAAGTCTTAGTTAAGTTAAATTCCTCTAAAGCTCAATCTTAACTATAATCGTTTCTAAGAAAGATCAAATCCCGGAGATGACGCCATATGTGGGTTTAGTTTGTTGTTGGTTTTCTCCTTTGCTGCGAAATTTTTTCTCCGGGTACTCCGGTTTTCCCCTCTCCACAAAAACCAACATTTTCAAATTCCAATTCGACCAGTAATGGCAGATGAAGAACTACTATATGGATGTGCTACCTCTTAATTGTTATTTCTATTTTTATTTAAGAGCATCTCAATTATTAAATGAGCGAAATGACATCCATTGCCACGTAAACGACTTACCGAAGACTCCTCGGAACCCGAAATCTTTAAACATCTTCGGAAAATTTCGGAAGAACGATGGAAATGTTCCTTTCCATACGTGATTACGGAGTTGAAGAAGTCATCAGAAATCAGTTGGACATCGCTTTGTACCGATGTAATAGACAGAGTGAAAACTATCGCCTTTTTATGATTGAATTTTTTTCTTTAAATACTTTCCGATCGTGGTCTAATTCTGTTTTTCATTTTTGAACATCTGGCTTATTTATCGACACTTAATCCTTTCAACGTTCACTGCATGAAAAAAAATTAATATCTTAATCATCCGATTAAAAAGACAACTAAGATGATGTGTTGATAAAAAATCTTCCGTTAAGCGACCGCGAGATTTTAATAACTAGCTATCACGTTTCGAGGAAGAACAAGGTGTTCTTGAGATTGTTTTGGTATAACAATATGTGAAAAGAAAAACAGTGATATTTGAAACAATGGCGGTAGTAGGAGAAATGAATTTTTTGGGGGGTTTGTTTATATCATCCGGTTTAAGCCACTGAAAAGTCACTGGAATTGTAAAAATGCGGCCACTTTGTAATTGCGAAGCTAAAAGTGCAAAAGGTCTCAAAAACAAGCAACACAGTTTTGTAAAAACTACACAAGGGGTCGCTGTTAGAGGCGATAACAAGATTACCCCATTTGGCCGATTTAAAAATCATTTTGAAATGTATTGGACTGAACGGACAGACAATATGGTCGTAAAACTGACTTCTCTTACTTTGTCTTAAGCAAACTTTAAGGGGAAAGTTTTGCATTTACATTATAACTTTTATCTGCGTTATATTTTGATAAAGGGGGTACAGTTGTTTAATTCTTTGTGGTATTGATGCTACTGAATGATAAATTGTCGACCAACTTGACCACGAAAAACAAGGAGGAACCTTGAGCGATAACCATCTATCTACCCCGGCCTCACACATTTTTGGTCAAACATGAAAACAACATCGAAATCGCACTTGCCAAAAGAAAAAACCTGTTTATCAGAACTCCTAAGTGCCTTGTCACTGTTTGGAAAATTCAATTTAACAATAAAACAGTAGGGTATGGACGAAAGCCGGCGAAGTATGCTGGGCGCCAATTTAAAGTTTGACTCTGCGGGATCGAAGTGATAAAACGCGTTTTTTAAAGGCTACAATTGATTGATGGCGGGGTTTACGGTTTATGTCTGAAAAAGCTTTCAATTAAATTTCTGTCCCATGTAATTAGCCAGAACCTTAATAAATCAAATTTGTGATTGATCTCGGCGGATAAAATGAAGGTTCAAGCCGATTTTTATCGATATATTTCATCGGAGGCGTGAAGCACATAACAGAAGGCTGTTGACAGGTCTGGAAAGAACGTAATTAATAAGGAAATAATTTTCCCAGCGGGTAAGTACACGTTCGACTTTTCCTGGAGTGAGGTGAAAGCACAAGACATTATCTTGTTGCCTTCGCTAATCGCAGCTTGATATTTTAAGTTTAATAATGTTTGAAATTATTTTCGTTTGCCGTTTGTATTGCACTGCGAGGTGCCATTCGAGCACAAAGTGATTTTTCCCAGGGGGCGAAAGTTTAGCGTAATAAACTGTCACTAATAAGCCAAATAATAAAGTTGATTAACAGTGATGAGCTTTTAATTAACAATCCTTAAGAACTAATATCATTGTTATACCTGTGTGTTTTATTAACCGTGTCAGACCTGCCGGGAGGTATACAAAACTTGGCCCGCCAGAAGGTAGCTTTAAAAGTTTGAGCGAGAACACATCACTTCCAGAAAGATAATGCGAGAACAAACTAAATAATTAAAACCTGTTTCTATTTATGGAGGGCTTAACTGCTTTCGTTTCGAGATTTGACGAGGAAAAACAAGAGAAGCAGCCAAGGCAAAGTACCTCTACAACGGAGCAAAGCCAAGCAGACAATATGCCTTCCGCTGGTTCCTCAGCAGCGAGAAGGTCACTGCCATTCAGCATTGAAGAAATTCTGAGTGACAAGCGACACTCAGTAACTGATCGGCAAGAAAACATTCCCAGAGAAGATGTACAGAACAAGCTAAATGACTATAGTTTGCAAGGTAAGAAGACCTGACCTTTCGTAGAACAGAAGGTCGCAAAACTGATTGAGATGAAACCAATATTTTTTAAGGGAGAAATATCTGTCCCGATTCCACTAGCTGATTGTAACGACGTGATTTTGTAATTGTTTCCAGTATTAAATTATAACTTTCAAACATTTTTTAATGGCTGGTGATTAGCCAAGCATTGATAGTAATGCTACAATTTGATATTAATTTCATTTCAAGCATTCCAATTTCAAATGGTAATTATCGTTCATGAACAGTTAGTAAATTCAGTAACAGAGATCTTGTGTTAAGTTTTCAGTCATTTCCATCGCTAAATTTAGGCCCCACTCTTCAAAATCCCCCCACCTGAAATGTAATGGAGGCCAATCGGTAAAAATGCCTGAGTGACGTTTTTAAATCATGAAGATAATCTCTAAAGATTTTAATCGTTTCTGCCTTTGAATTTGTCTCTCATTTTTATTTCATGAAGAAATGATCTAGACAGACGCAGGTTTTTCTTAAGAATGCAACAATTCGCCCAATAAAAATGAGGTAGTTTAAAAAAAGTGATAAAAATTTATATGTGAATCGCATATATCGCGGCCCATGGTAGTGAAATTGAATTCTCTATGATATCATGATCTGTGTTACGTTTCGTCGTAGCAATTAAGCTGGTTAAACTAGTGTGATCTATGAAACAAATGCCCTGAACTTGGCTGAGCTAATTAAGTGACCGAATTTAAGCCTATTAACCATTTTTTTCTCTGACACTGTACATGTTGACTAGTTGTGTGGATTAAGTTGCACCAGATTACGAGTCTGGGGATCATTCGAGGTGTGACGGCGTTCAAATAAAAGCTACTGAGCAACACTTTACTATGGTTCTACTAATTATGTTATACAAGGAAATTGTATGACACTTGAGTCTGAACATCAGTTATTATCAAGGTGAAGGCTTCTGATCTGTACTTCTCGTGGCAATTTTTAGCTGTACAAGGTGGCCCTATTCTCTACGGTTTTCTAGTCTGTGGATGAGTGTGACCATTCAAATGAAAGCTCAGTACTGATCAATACTTTCCTGTGGTTCTGTTTATATTATGCTGTATTCGAGGCCCTACCAAGGTAAATTCCGACAAGCGACATGACCCAAAAAGTAGCAACAGAGCATAAAATGAAATCGCCACAAGAGACAACCTCCCTCGGCCAAATTGCGACAAAGCGACAAAGAACGGTGGTTTGGCTAATTTATCACCAGTCTGAATGCCAAGAAGAAAAAATTTTAATCAGTTTTCCATGCGCTTCAGAGAGCGTCTCTTGTCGGCAGTGAACCTTAGTGGACCCTCCTGTGTTACGTTAATTGTGAATGGCGATGTATACGTGTTCGATACGCGAAGTGTTTACTGAGAAATTGCAGAACTGTAATGGTGTCTGTAAAACGCATCGCTATTCCCCTATTTTAAAATTCCGACGAAGACGAAGAATTTTCATTCTATTTCCGACAGCTACGTAAAGCTTTTATAAACACCGACACGAAACGTTTTAAAATTCAGGCGAGCGACTAACACCCTCCCTGGCGGGGCCTCTTATTAGGTACCTGCTAACTTTTGAGTCCTTGGATGAAATCCTCCAGTGTGACCGTTCAAATAAAAGTTACTGAGCAGTACTTTCCCGTGGCACTGTTTATTATGCTATACAAGGTGGCCCCTACGTTTTTAGTCTGTGGATAAAGTCCTAACATGTGACCATTCAAGGGAAAGCCACTGAGCAGTACTTTTCTGCATGTAACGCTGTTTATTATGCTGTACAAAATGGCTCTCGGGAGCCTTATCAAACCGTAAGCACGCGTTTATTTCATAATATATAGATTTAGCCAGGGCTAAAAGCGAAGCTCTGGTTAATAATACGTGTAAACAAAAAAAATTAAATCGTGTAACGCTAAACGGGGGACGACAATGAAAATGGTTTCAAGACTTTAGAATAGATCTAATTAGCAAAAAAACAAATTGCACGTGCAGCACTTTTTCTTCTAATTAGCAAAAAGCAAATTTCCACGTGCAGCACGCTTTTTTGTCTTTCCCTTGCCGCTGTTTTGCACGACTACAACACTGTTTTGTACGACTATAACGTCAAACTTCCTAGTTACACACTATTTTTATGGAGAAATTGTCGTATGTGTTTACCCAATACTTTGCTTCCAGTGTTCATGTTCGCTTTTATTTTTCACTGCCGCTCATTTTCACCTCGCTGGCCGCAAGCATTTCTCATTTTCTCACCGCCGCTTTGAATTTCCACGTTTTTCTTCCAACGAATTTTCAATAGCTCGCTCTAGCTCTTTCTCTGTTATCCACGTTAGTGTACACATAAAAAATAACGCCGAAAAAGACACGACTTTTTTCTTTGTAAAAGTCCGGGCGGCCATGTGATTTCCTTCCAAATAACCTTGAGTTGCATTTGGGTTCCCATACCTGTTGATTGAGTTATTTTACATTGGTATGCCTGTGGTGCGGACGGACGGTCGCTCGCTCGCTCGGTGTATGGTCACGTGATTACCAAATTTTCTGGGATGGGTAGATTACCACATTTCCTTACCTATGGGGCTCCGCCCACGCGCGCGCTTCGCGCGCGGGTGCAGCTCCGCTATTAGGTATTTTGAGAACGGACCTCTGGAGCCAGCGTACTATTATGATCACCAAGCGCTTGCCAGCTGATACTCTCATCTTGGCTTTATTTCAAGAATATGATGAAGGAAAATACAGTCCGAGATAGAAGTTGACGACAAATTTTGGACCAGTAGTATACTGCTCCCGTCGACTGTTTGTTTCTAAATAAGGTCACTCTAGGGGAACTTGAGTCTTTTCGAAACTATATAAGGGCTTCAGTATTATTTTTCAGAAAATTTTAGATGTAATTTAAAGCTTTACGAAGGTGAGGATCTCTTTTTGTATTCTTCTCTCGATCCAGCGCGTTTTCCAATCGAAAATGTTATGTTTCCTTTTTCTACGAAATATAGCTTAAACTGGGGAGTGAAATGTGAAGAAATAAACTTCAGAAAATCGTAGGGAATTTATTAGATATGCTTCAAAAATTGTGCAAGAATGGAACGGTCATCTAGAAATCAGTGTTAGCACGGTCCGCAACTCGTAATAGAAAATTCTAGCTAGTCAATATTTGCTTCTCCGAACAGATATTTTACAGAAAACATTGTGTTAAGCGGCCCGGACTTGCCGGTACCCGCTTAATGGAGGTTCACCTCATTATTTAAAAACAATCTACTTCGGCTAGACAACTCAACTTAAAACAAGTTAAGTATTCGGTAGTGGGAACATGCGTTAGCTATCTACATATAGTGGCCTTATGATTTTCCAAATGATTATTTAATCAACTGCAGAAGAATCGCCTATCAGACGTTCCCATCGATGCAAGCCCCCGAGAAACAGAAAAAATTTTACCAGAGAACAGTTGAGAGAGTTGGAGAAACTATTTGACCAGACACATTACCCAGATGCTGTGACACGAGAAACATTGGCTAAGAGAATGGGCCTGTCGGAGGCCAGAGTTCAGGTATTTGCATTAGTGTAGTTAGAATTTACATATTATAGGATATTATACGAATAAAGTATAGATGAATTGATTATCACTACGAAATAGGTCGATTTATTTCCTCAAGCAAATATTTGTTAGGTAACTATATTACTCAAATCTAGACCAAAAGAAAGCCCTCGACAAATGCAAGTAGAAAGCCTATTTGAGCAATGTTCAGACTGTTGTGATAGTAAACAGCGTTTCTCATTCCCTTTATTAAGGAAAAAGCCACGAGGACCAAATTGGGTACTTAGAAAAAGTTTATGTTCAGCACAAGGGAGCCGAGGTACTCTAGATTCTTTGGAGAAACCAAAAAAAAATGACTTGTCTGGCTTCAACCTGACTGCGACATTATTTGCAGCTGAATAGAGGTCGGAGGCAGCAGAAGCTGCGTTATCCTCTTCCAGCTGACACGTAACGGGGCTTGTCCGCTGAACGAGAATAACGTAGCCTTTGGGGACAAGACTGCTACCAAAAAGGGTTTGACTTGCAGTCTGTTTTTAGATTTTTTCCCGGGAAATTCACTGTGTTCACAAACGTCTGCACAATATACTGCTAATGATCTTGATAGAGACCTCTCGGTCTACACTGGGCTTTACTGATTATGAAACGGCCCTACTTTGCTCTAACTATATTATGTTTTTCTTTTTTCGCGCGAAGGTTAAGTTGTAAATCAGATATTCTTACACGCACGGATCACGGGTGATGGGTTCCTGTGAAGATATGGCTTTTATTATTGATTTGTCGGGAAAAGAGAACCCAAACTGTCGGACAGTATTGGTTTCGCATTGTCGCTTTCTGTTGTTAAAAATGGTTGTAATTTGTAAATTCACAGATATGGTTTCAAAACCGTCGAGCGAAGTGCCGTCGTCAGGAAGGCTCGGATAAACGCGGCTTCGTTGTCCCAGCAGCAGAAACTTACAAACGTCCCAATCAGGTGACTCAACTGCAGGCGCCATTTACCCAGAATTCATATGGTGCAGGATGCGTGGAACGCCTGTGCATGTGCAGCCAAGCCAGTTTCCTAGGAAACGACTATCACGTGAACTATGGTCGTCAGTTTCATCAACAAACAAGTATTGAGGACTTGAGGCGCAAAGCTCGTTATCACCTTTGGAGTGGACAAAATTAACTTTTCATAATGAAATCATGGAAACACACAATTTTTGTTCCCCGAAAAACAGATGCTTGCATCTACAGAAAAATCCTTGATTATTTTACATTCGGCGCCGTCATTCAATTTACCATTAGAATTGCATGCAGGCGAGTACGAATTTGGCCACGCTATTGAGTTTACTTCTGTTATCGGAATCCGAAATCAGGGCGAGATCTCAGGCCCAGAGTGTATGGGGGTACTTCGAGGTTGTGATGACGGTGAGGACTGAGACGACCATGCGAATGGGGTCATGATTAAGACCAAAAAATCCCTCGAACTGTAGGTGAAACCGAAAACAAATCTTCGGAAGCAAAATTTATCGCAACAAATTCCATGCTAAATTTTTGAACCGTTAAGCCGAGATTGAAGAATGAAAGTAATGTAACACCATTCCGCGGTGTAATATTAAAACAATATTTATTGGTGTAGGATTGCTTGACTCTCGCAACCTTTTTGTGTGGTTTTTAGACTGCTGCGACTGCGGGTAGTCTCTTATTATTATTTTGAGTCACAGAAGATCCTCCCTTTTACTATAAACTTGTATAATTTTTGTTTTTTGCTCGCCTCGCGTTGGTCTGAGGAAGGAAGGCCGACCGCTCTCTGTCTAGTTATTCTTTGTCCAGGGAACCAATTGGATCGCCTCACCTGATGACCCCACAATACTTGGGAACGAGTTCGGCACATTTTTCCAAAAATAATACTAAAAACAATACTGAACTCATTAAGGAAAAGAATAAATTCTTAACAGGTTTCCAGCTCAAGACGCCTTGTCTTAAAGTTCTTGTCATAGACTATTTACCCATGGGGTGAAACTGCATGGAGAGTTTCTTCTCTTGCGTGCGCAGGTACAAAAAGGGGAGTCGGGGGTGGGGGAAGGGGAGTGAAGAGCAAAAGGGAACAGGGAAAGGGAGAGCCGTCCCTTTCCTTCAATACTCTCCCCAATTCCCTCTCCTTTCCCCCTCTTTTCTCCATGCCACGAAGGGTAAGGGTTTTCACGCCTTCCTTAGAAGAAGTGTGTTAAATTATTCGAGAATGCCCAGTGTATCTGTTAGGATAGATTCTGTTCCTTCTTGGTTATTGCCGAAGTCATGTCGGTTGTTTGTAAGCTCCCTCTTATACTGAGGTGGCTATTAAATATCTCTTTCCTCAGTGGTCACCTCAGTTCCCGGAAATTGGAGAACCGCGGTTGTCATCCCGGTATTGAGCACACCAAGACTTGATCTGGGCCGAGTTGTTCAAAGCTGGCGTAAGATAACCCAGGGTTAGTGCGAGATTTGAATTCAGATTTGAAAGCTTAAAAAGCATTTCAGTTTTAATTCGTTTTGTCTACAAGTTGATGATTGGAAGCTCTAAAAATAACAGAGAAAATTATCCGAGAAAATGCTTTTGAACACAAGAAACAGAAACCTGGGTTAATTTTAATCCCGGGTTAAGCGCTAATCGGCTTTCGAACAACTGGGCCCTGGTTTACAACAATCAGCTCAGCTCTCTTAAGTTGGCTCGCGCAATTCGGGAAATCAGCTCGCGCGCACTCCTTCCCCGAGGCGAGTAAAAAGCCGTGCGCGGTTCCCAACCAACATCTCGCATTGTGTGGAGCTGGTGCGCTTAAGGAGTGCTTTTCAACCGCTTAGGCAGTTGGCAGAGATGTTCAGAGAGATAGCCTGCTATTACATTCTGTGGTGATGCATTCGCTTAAAGCATATTAGTTTCGTGGAGTTTGTTACAGTCATGACAATCTGTTAAAAGTCGCTCTTTCCAGTGGTGTTGACGGATTTTCCCTAACTGGTCCATCTCAAAAGTTGAAAGAAAAAAAAAAGTTGAAAGGTCTACTTGCAACGGCTTGTCTTCGTCCACTAAAATCCTGCGTCATAGCGTTGCGAATAACAGACTTCTCCATCGGAGGTGAGCTTTGCTACAAGGGATGGGGGCAGTATTCAAAACACGTTGTGGGGGTATGGGGATTTGATTGGACCATTAAACCCCATACCCTTTTCCTGAAATTCCCTTCTCCATCTTCTCCTCTCTTCCGAGAAGAGTTAACTGTCGCGTCCCCATGGGCTCCTTTCGCGTCCAATTTACGACGCGCCAGACTGAGACAGTCAATGTGCATGGTTAACCGTCTCTGATAAAGACTCGGGAAACAGGTCAAAAATAACAACTGATCATTACAGGTTTCGGGTTCCCTTCCTGGGGGGTACTCGACCAATATTTTGGTATAGGTGAGACGGCTAAAGGTTTGAAACCCTGACCCTGTTTAGAACAAACAAAATCCTAAAATAATACTCTGTTTAGGACAACACCCACAATTTTATTACCCTATTTAGGGCAAAGGACAAAATGCACGCCGTCTTGTTATTAAGGGTCCCAGGGTCTTTTAATAGCCGAGGTGCTGCCTTTGAACTGTCATCTGCAGTAAGAGTTTCTAGTCTTCTCGAATAAGGATGAAAAAACCATAGATTCTATCTCACAGCCCTTGTTCATGTAATATTATGTAGGACGTTAAATAACCCACACACTTTTTGTAAAGGGAAGGGGCAAGTCCCCGGTGAACAGCCCCCAGGGGTAAAGAGTAATGTGGTAGTGTATGACTCAAGATTTAGTCTTTGAATACACAACGTGACGCAAATAGAAGCCAAAAATGTAAGGCAGAGACCTACAAAAGCTGGGAAACTGTGAAATTTGCCTGGGCTATCGTGACCAGAGAGTTTGGCAAATCTTTCTTCCCCAATCACTCTCTATCCTTCCTCTCAGCAATTGAGAGAAGTCTGGGCCTAGAAAGGCGCCAAGATGGCGGCTATTTTCTCTTGTTAAAATGTGTGGACGAAAGCATAGTCAGTAGAGATAAGATGGGATTGTTATGTATTTTCGTTGATGACCAGTAGAGTCCTGCAACACATTTCTCAACGCCTGGATCAATAAGTTATTTGAAAAGTGGCTACTTTCTATTCATTTGAGAAGTGGAGATTTTGGTGAGTATTATTATATTTAACTTTTTAGCTCACCTATCAGTCATATTAAGCTTAAATCATGTTTTATTATGGGATAATGTAAAGGTCAATGTAAAAAAAAATTCTGTCGAATTTCGAGGGTTAACTTCTGTTAATACGAAGCAAGAAATATGAAAAGAAATATGTTGTAACTGGGACCATGAGCAGAGGAGATTTGTTTTACTCCCTCCACAGGCGAACCACCCTCTGTTCGTGTACCATTGTTGATTGAATTCTGAGCATTGATCTCTTGTTCTTTATAGAAGAAATACAATTGAACATTATGGTGGCTATAATTAATTGATCCCAAATATATAAATGGTGGTGGAACGTATTCAAATATTGAGAATTGATAGGGAAGGGATGGTAGATAACGTCATAATGCGCGGCACATGATGTGATTTTTGCAGAAAATGCTCCCCAATCATCATCAATTTGCGATGACAGAAAATGCTCGAAAAAGAGGTTTTGCCTTGCAACATATTACCTCATTGCCTTACTTCCCACCAATCATATTATTATAATGGCAAACCGGAGGCATTTATGAGGAAACGTTCAATGTTAACATTAAAATAACTCAAACAATGCAAAATAGTTTAAATTTTAGGGTCGGAAAGTCGAGTCTACTTAAGAAATGGCAAACTTCGATGGCGATTATCCGGCGGCAGGACTTTTCTGCGGGTGACGGGTGACGGGTGGTGGGTGGCGGGTAGCGGGTGGCGGGTAGCGGGTGATGGGTGAAGGATAGCGGGTAGTGGGTAGCGGGTGACGGGTGACGGGTGAAGGGCAGCGGGTGGTGGGTAGCGGGTTAAAAATATATATGAAATAAAATATTATAACTCGTTATAGTGTAATTGAAGATATAACTGTATGTTGCAATTTTAAAAAAAATTTCAACGTTTATGTACTTGTCTTATCTACTTACGTGGACTACCTTATTATAGGAAATTAACGCTCCATGAAATTAAGGTATTGGAAATTAACGCGACTTAAATTAACGCGAATTTAATTGAAAATGACTCTCGAATAAAGAAAATTAACGCGAAAGAGGAGGTAGAATTTCATAATAAAGGAAATTAACGCGATTAAGACACGGTGGTGACAACTGGAACAAATTTATTTCAACACTGGATGCAAAAAAATTCAAAACTGAACAAAACTGAGCTGACATCACTTCTAAGACAACAATGAAGATGAACTCGAAATATTGTAAACCTTCGCCTTCGCTTTTGTGAAAGATGAAAAATAAAGGGTTACGGTAATTGAAAGAAAGAAAGCTTGTAGTTAATGTTTTTTAGGAGTCAAGAATGTCTGGACATTTACTGTATATAAAGCAATGTGGCAGGTCTATTATGATTATGGGGGGTGCGGGGTGGGGGTATGGATATTTTCTGGAACTACACAATTCAGAAAAAGTGTAATTTCCCTGCACAAAATATTGTTCGATGCCAAGAGAGGATAAAGGGGACAGAGAAGGCATCCACCATATACACCCTATTCCATAGGTAATTCGTCTCGAGTTATTTTTAGAATCGTGATAAAGTTACCTCGCGCGCTGCGTGGATGTTTTGTGGAGGTTTCACATGACTAAACGCCGTGCAAAACATGTCGGGCAAAGGGCAATGAAAGCGTAAAGAGATCGAGAGCATTTCTGAATATTGAAGCGAAATGAGTCGCGCTCACCCGGGAAAAGGGAATCGCTCGACTCTTTGACAACCCGTGAAGTCAGTTTAACTCGAAGTTATCGTAACCTCAGTGCTTTAACAAAATGAGAAATTTTGCCGGTCTATTGAAACCGGTCATTTGTACAATAAAGCAAGTAGCAAGTAATATTCATGTACATGTAATTAGTTTTACAAATTTGAATTTTATTGTATTTTTTTAAGTTGTTGAGCTCTGTTGATCAATGAATGTAAATAGGGCACTAGAAGTTATTAAATTGTCATTATTATTACTATATGACGCCAAGTGCTATTTTCGTTGAATAATAAAAGACTAATGAAAGAATAAATATCAAACCAGAAATTGCTCTC